TCTTGTTTCATAGTTTCACTGAGAGTCTTAACTATCCAACCTTCTAGTTTTTAAATGATCCCGAAATTTACGAATTTTAACCAAGGACCTAGATAAACGACCATGTCGAGAACTTTACTTGTGTTTTTGAAATCGCAACCATTGAAATATTTCTCTTTTGCTGCAGTTCAGCCTTCTCTTGTAATTAGAAGACTAGCCAGTCTTGACAGATGCTTTCCGAAATCATGTTCCACTACCATAATACGATCTTCATGATGCATTGAATACCTACCTTAATAAGTTCCTCGACTAGCTTGACCACAATACTGGTCGGGTAAACCGAGAAGCAGTAATTACTCAACCATTTTCCGCCGGTTTTATCGACCGCAATAATTGCTTAATTTTTCCAGTTACTTGAGAGTCATGACAGCTTTCGTAGTATATCACATAGCACTGATAATACTTTACCACCAACAGAGCTGCCAAATGATGAGGATGGATATCATCAAGATGACTCAACTTATCTCGCTCAAAATTTAAATTCAGTCTCATGAAGAATGCTCTTCCAGTAAGCACGACTGTTGGAACAATGTCTTCCCTTTCAACTCAGTAGGAGAAAAACGTGTGACCCACATAATTTGACAAAGCAGTAGCTTTATAGCTGGTGTGAATGAACACCTCTGGACTAAAACAAGCCTTATTGCATTGCTATTTTTATTCTTCCTCTTCACATACTTTAGGGTCGTTTAAAGAATCACGGGGCAGTTGTTCCTTACATGTCTACAGGGTTTCGAGGACTCTTTTGTTATTTATGATGGACACTTATTAGGCCTACGTGATTTTAGCCACGCTATAAATTGGGACACGATTGAGCTAAGCATATACTTTAACTACGGACCATGCTTCTTCAACAGAAGAGTTAATAATGTCAAGCAGCCTGTCAAAACGCTCAATGATTAGTGGTCACAGTGTTCCCACGTTATTGATTTGAGTGAGGTTGAAAGTGACCATAAGTACTGTACCGAGCTCTAAGCCTGACACACGAAACTTCAAAACATCTACATGCTAACGGCAGGAGAACATATAGACAGGCAATATCCTTGGTTTCATGAGTACTCACAGAGTCAGTCAAAATAGTCACAAAATCCGAATCAAAACAAGTTTCAGTGAATGGTGTAATACAATTTACTCCATCAGAGTCTTGCGGAGTTCATTATCGAATGTTCAGTCGGATTCTACTGAAGGTGGCCCCTTTTGACTGAAAACGTTTGAAACCAGACATCGTTCACATTTGCTCTATACCATAATGAAACTAAATGTACCTTACCTAAGATTTACCACTGGATGGTCGATAAAAGTGATAATGTTCAAAAAAGAGCAAAATGTGAACTTTATTGTTATTGCAAACCTCAGTGATACAGAATTGGTATTTCTATTTTTTCCTTTTATCAAATGCTCCTGAACGGCAAGAAATTCTGGCTCAGCAATAGAAAGTGCCGAGGTAGACCATGAGGTTACTGCGACGTAAGATCACGTAAATCAGATTCTCACATCACGGTCAGTCACATATGTCAGTTAGGTTCCAAGCCTTACATGATCTGGCGAAAGAAGCTACAATGGAGGAAAACGGGAGGGGATCAAAGAAGCACCAACTTCAACGTGTTAGAAGGTACTGGGGCTCAAGAAGCACCATTATAAAGAACGGATCTCCATCGAAATCCTAGACGAGATTCAACAAAGGAAGAACAAGAAGAAAGCAATCAACAGCAGTCAAACAAAAACAGAGAAAATGGAAGTACAAGCTGAATACACAGAAGCAAACAAGCAAGTAAAGCGGAGCGTTGGAGGTGATAAGCATAAATATGTGGAAGGCCTAGAAGCGACAGTGGAAAATCTTCCAGAGAAGGAAATATGAAAGATCTACATGATACTATGAAGACCATAACATTAACATGTTTTGTGCCTGATGATAGTGATCACCGATAAGTCCTGGAGGTATTCGTAATGGCGAGGGGTGGAGTGACTTATTGCCCATATGTTTTGGGTGGTACGTCACGAGGGTGTTGAAAAAGAGATGAAAAGGAGAAGTGGGACTGACAGTGTTCATGTCTAGGTAGGTTTAGTAATTTGGGATATAAAAATTCAGGTAATACCACCAAGACTCTTTTTCTCTTATTGGACCAATTTCTTAGCAAGTATACTTAATCAGGTTAAAGATAACAAGCCGAATTACGGTGTTTAATGAGCAAATGATTGCATAAATTGAGGTGATTCAAAAAAGCTGAAAGTTAAGAATTGTGTCCGGATGCCAATTGGCCATATTTCGTAAAAACTGCTAAAAATTCTTTTTATTATTTCGACTTTTGTGGAGTCATTAGTGGGCTCTTATTTAGCGAAGTTTTACAGTTTTGCTTGTAACAGAATTTATCGGTAGGAAGAGAAACCAATTCACGGATACAAACACAAGTCAAAGAGGTATTTGGTGTAAGGAATTATCATAGATATCATTGGTTCGTGACATCCTACTAGACCGAAAGGAGCCGTAATTTAACAACCACTACAAAGAAGCTGGCAGGGAAACAGTAAACTAGAGTGGCCAGTCAAGGACAAAAAAGGCAAGGCAATCTCCGAAATTCAAGAGCAGAAGAACAGAGCGATAGAACACTTTGCGGAACTGTTGAGTAGACCAGTTCCATCGAATCCATTAGAGATTCAAGCAGCACCTACAGAACGTTTTGTAGATGTCACTCCACCGGCGGCCGAAGAAATTAGGATGGCTGTCAGACAAATCAAGAGCGGGAACGCAGTTGGACCCGACAACATACCAGCTGAAGCACCAAAGTCAGACACAGAAGTAATTAAGAACATGCTTCACATTCTATTCAGGTATATTTGAGAAGAAGAAAGAGTTCTTACGGACTGAAAAAAGCACACCACATTGGACGGTCTGATTTAGTGTCTGGGCTACCTCTTCCTACATTCTGCACCAATCATTTGAGAGGATAGCCTTAGGAAATTCGTAATCGAATGTCAAATCTTTCGCAGCTTGAGATCAGTTTCTGGAATCAAGCAGTGAATTACTGAAACTTCTTATCGGGACATTTAGTAAAAGCACCTCGTGTTGATAAACTCAAAGCGAGAGTGGATTTTCGCAGAAATATATAGGTCACTGAACCTCATCCTTATATGCAAAACCATTCGTGTCAATGATGAGATAGTAAAGTGAACTAGTGAATGTTTGTAATCTTTAGTGAATGTGAAGAGCCTCCTTATTTGTTGTGGATAGAGATATCATGAGATGGTTAGGATCTTCCGTTTTACTCGTCTCTGAATTAAAAGGCTCGGCATAACATTTGATAGGATGTAGCACAACACATGATTTTAATCTGTCCAAACAAAGTGTCGAAAAGTTGGGAAATCTCGGCGATTCATCGTGGCGAAGAGTGGGATTCAAGGGACACTACGCAGTATCAACTACTTTTCTACTTTTTAAGTGCAGTCAAGTTTTAGAAACTCATGTGTGAAGTGACTTAAGTGACTATCTTGAAATCTTTCAAGATGAATCTTGGTGTATTCTTAGGAATTCAAAATACAATTCCATAATCCAGCCTTCATTTACTTCCGTAGGGAGTTGATAAAAACCCATGAAAAAGGCCGCTACTTTGATCAAACGATAACAGAATTGGGATTAACTTCTGTAGATAAACGTTTTCCTAGTCGGATCGCAAGAGAGTATATGTTAAATCACAGTTGTCCAGCTGCATAATAATGTTTAGTGGAGTGTCACAGGGTGTAATGTACTACCGAGTTCACCCCATGAACGATGATATGGATAAATAGGCCATGAAATGTAAATTCCTTACTGCATCTCGTATTAATGCTTAGGCTAAACCCCATTGTTTATAAAAGCTACATAAGAAATAAGTTGAAAGCAGTGATGGATAGAGAAACAACACACATTCTCCCACCAAAACGCTCAGGGTCACAAGCGAATAGCTATAAAGGCAAATATATGTCTATATGATGACTCGAGGAGATTGATTTATCTATCCGAAAGTGGATTTAAACACACACGGACGTCATTATAGAAAAGCAGCTACAATAATTTCGGGACCAGTGGAATTTCTCTTGTGTGTAAAATCCTTTCTACTAACATCGTCGGTCTATCTATATGTTGACGATATCTAAACATTGAGGGCGATAAAAGAGAGAATGACTTTTTAGAGTTTCCGAATACCTACAGAAATTGTCTGTGTTATTCAGGATTTGTTAGTTGCCAATACATGTTTGCAAATGCGCAATGATGCATATGGCACAAATACATACACAGTGAATGATATTGAAATACCCCATTATCAAGACAAATTGATTTACAGGTTGATTAGCACTCCTATACAATGGCTTCTGGAAGTTTTAGAGTCATCTGGTCTATACATACTACCTCTAGTCTTTAAACCTCCATGACTTCGCATACAATGTCTATCTGATTTAAACTTGAGTATCTCCTTAAAGCAGTCAGCTTCTGCCTGAATAAGGCTGATCACTTGGAAGATATTCGAAGAACCTCAGCTAAGTTGACCCCAGGAATAATAAAGCGACCGTATGACGAATGACTAAAGTAAACCTGTTACCCCTGTTACATAGGATTAGAGGCAACTTAGTCACAACCTTATAGCTACTTATTGATGATTTCACATCCGAAATACCCTCGTTTTCCTTAAATCCCAAAACTCAACATTTCTAAGGACAATTCTTAAATGTTTGCAAGCCCAGAACCACTTACTCATCAAATAACTTCAGACTTTTACATCGAATCACCAATTTGTAGGATTCTCTAATTTAACACGTGGTTGAATCTTTCTGTCGAGACTTTCGAAATGAACTTAGATCAACTGAGATACTCCCATCATCAGAGCTAACACAAGTCATCCAGGCTTCTGTCCCTTTCAAACGGAGACGGAATAATTTGCCAGAATATCATTCATTTCTTTACGTTTCGTGTACTCAGGTCCTTACTTAGAGCCATTTTCAATTGATTGTAACTAGATAGGGAAACTAGTCGGGCGAAAACCTCTTTTATTCTCTTCTTAACTTTTCGAGCCGCATGAATCGTTTACATGATTCAGATTCCTAGGTCGCGCTGTGAGTGTTTGCATAATGCGCGTAATAGGAAGTCAAAGTCTTGCCCTGACATTGCTTATCGTTTGGTTTCTTTTTCTTATGCAAACTTTCTGTTAAGTAATCCCCACAAACCTAGTGTGTAAACTTGTGTATTTCTGGTGTTTCATGGATGGTTTTATGAAAGAGAGCCTATTAAAATGGATTTCACTAATAACTGAGAGGAATGTTAGCATCATAGATGGCGAAATCCTCAACAATCTAATAGACCTTTCGTAAGTTAGCAGTTTGATGTATGACAATAATTAGAGGTGCTTGTTCAGCAGTTACTACCTCGGAATGTTTCAAGGATCGAATTGGTTCATTTTTGGATGGTAAGCGATTAAGTCATCACGTTAATTATATTCAGCAACTTTTCATCCTGGAGTTTCTAATTTATTTGACATCGAAGGGGTGATTTCTGGAAAGGCTAACGATGTGGAATTGTTCGGGGTAAGTTATCTGTTCAGTTTCCATCAGTTATTGTAGCTGTTTCTCTAACCTTATAGCTCGTAGAAAGTGGTCACTTTAGGTACACACTTGATATATCTTAATGCCTGCATATTTTCCTAGCATTCTACAATTTAGTGGGTGTTTTTTCTGCTTTATTGAAGTCAAAAAAATAGTGTCAGGAATGTTTTAGTCTAAGCTTAAGTCTAAAAATGGATACTTGGTGTAGTTTCCTTTTTTCTCCATTGGTTATCCAGTTCCCAGGGATGAAAATATGGACCAATAAAGCTGTACTGGAGATTCCGGATAGCCTTGGGAGTATCCACTGTCGTATCTGTTGCCACTTGCTCAAATAGGATGTCCAAGTCGTCAACCACTCAACAGGAGCATTCTCGTCTTTTATCGCGTAGTAGCTGTTTAAATATAGCCCGTACTATTATTTGTGTATAAAATTGCCCTTCTTATTTTGCACTGTAATATATTTAGTTGAACTGAACTTACCTTATTTCTCTTCAGTTATGCCTAACCGTTTTGTTGGGATGTCTTCAATGTCCCTCCAAACAGTTATTCATGGATCCTGCTTTGGATTTGAGTTTGGATATGCAAACTGCCATATTTCATTTGATTCAAGTGCCTATGACCCAGTTGTCCCTCCATCATGAGTTCACTCGGGATCTAGTCACAAGCAGAATTCTCGATTCATCACATCTTATTCACACTGATAACTTGCCAACTCTTCATCAAACCATTACTTGTAAAATAGAAGTAAGTCCCACATTTGTACTTGGCTTCAGATAATACCTCTTCAAAGTTTTCTAATACATGTTTTTAAGAAAATTACTCAGTCACTACTATCCAAGCTTCAACACACACTGAAAGGTCTGTGTATCGTCCTAGCAAGTAAACTAATGTGTTGGTTGGAATTGTATGACAGAAACTTAACTCAGTCAGTCAGTAGCAACGCAGAACTTCGTACGTACGTAAATCAGTTCGAGCTGTCACACCACATTAGCACAGAGATGCAGTAGTCAACTCAAATTCCTTAGTGGTAGAGGTAGTAAGAGTATAAGCAGTAATCGGAACACATTAGGGCTTGAAGATGTTATTCAAGGAGTATAATACAGTTAAATCAATTTGGAAACAAATTGAAGGACATGAAGAATTCAGAAGATTAGAATTTGGGAGAACACAAAGAGTGTATGCACTTGCGCCATTGCAAAGGATTTTGATCTATTTCATTCAAGGTCTCTAACCATCAGTTTCTATCATCTCGCGGTCCCCAACCAGGTGGTGTACACCTACCAACATGACTCAGTCTACTTGTCAGTGACTTCATGGATTTGTGCCATGTTTTGGTCTGGCCGCCCCTAGCTTTCTTCCAACCCACTCCTACACCAGAAAACATCGCACGTCTGGTATTCACAACTCTTATATAGACGACTATCTGGTTTTGTTTTATTACTGAATTGTGACTTTTAATTTGCTTATATAGGAAGAAGTCTCAGAACCATCATCTAGGCCACTATCTTCAACAGACACGTGTAACGGACAAAAAGTGATTTGTAATGACAATAGAAATTATGGTCTTTCGGTGAACACATTGGGATTTGAATTCACTCGCCCTAATTCGCCTACAGAATATGCTAATGGACATACAAACAAACTAAAAAATGGTCTTGATCACAGACCCAGTAATCTTTCATTGTGTAACACTCCTGATCGAAGTCTGTGTATTGCATCCAGATTGAATTTAACCGATAATTCGGAACATAATGCGAATCATACTCATCATGTGCCTCCACCTCTAGCCTCGCCTCTCACATCCCTAAAGTTTCTCTTGGATTCTCCATCATTGACACACAAGGTAAACATACATGTCTTGTTAGTGTTCTTGTGAACTATTTTTCACCTCAACTCATGAAGTTTTCTACTGTTATTTACATTACTCGGTTTTGTATATTGTTATTTAAAAAGGTTTAAATTTAACTGACACAGTGGGGACTTTTTTCTACTGATTCCAGACTAAGTGCTTCCATAATATTAAAACTGCTGATGTACCACATAGAAATATACCTCCCTTTTTATGTTTCTAGTCAAACTACATTCATTGCCATTCTATTGATTGCAATTGATATACTTTTATCCGATTGGTTAGTACCGTACATTTTCCGCTAATAACCTTTAATTTTGAACTTGACGATGGTCGTAGGTAATTGAACTAAGCTTGGTTTCCCGATGTTACCAGAATCATTACAATTTAAACCATCATTCTGGTTCGAACCCCTAAAAACTCCAGTTCGGGTAACTTAAGTATACATGGCCTTTATACACAACTGTGACTCAAAACTGAGTACATTAATATGCATTTAAAAATTAAGTTAAATCAGTGCTTTCGTTATTTTAAACGAAAATTCAGTCTTTTGACTCTACGGTAGTATGAAATTGAGCTGCTTATCTACTGCTGGTCTTAATTTCCTACTACGCAAACTTTTCAAGCATCTTCGTGAGACCGGTGCTAAAAATGTACTGACATCTGTTGAATATGACACTAACTGCTTGGTCATACGTAAACTCGGTGGTACTATTTACCGCGTTTTTGATGCAGTTTTTAAAGCCATGGTTGATTAGGAGGTTATCTCTATAAGCCGCAATTATTGTCCAAGCTTCTCTGCATCTTTTCTGGATGTTTCGTGCAGATCGTAGTGCTTCCTACTAATGAGGTTCAGCCTGGGTACTCAATTCAAATTATACAAACCTACTCTTAGTTAACAACTCAGACCTTTACACATTGCATAGTTACTAAACGATTTTGCTCAAACTATGCTATCTAACCAAAACTAATATGAAGAGAGAGAGAAATAGGCACTGCAGTGAGGTCCTAGATTTCGTGGGCGACTATGTGTTGTACTTATTACTCTCCATGTCATAGTCCTGTTTTTTAGTCAAAATATTCATTCCATGCTTTTCTAGTTGTAAGACTAATGAGACCTATTTTGGCCTATTTTGCAGACACAATTTCGGGAATCAGAACGTGAAAAGCGTCGTTTAGCAGTGGAACTTGAAAAGGAACGAATTTGTAGAGATGAGGCGGAGAGTTTAGTTTCTGGATTACGAAAACAGCTTGAAGAAGCCACTGTTCGAGCAACTGAATCGGAATCACGGGCTCTCCGTTTATCTCGTGAACTAACAGCCCTTCATGATCAAGGAGATGAATTAGCACACTGTCGTAATGAATTGGCTTTGCGAGAGGAAGAAATTAAGAAGTAAGTTGTTCATTATTTCTTGCACAACAGATGACTGGGCTGTGGATCTCCTGATCCATCCTCTCTCCTCCAAACACTTGAACACCGCCACACCTAAAGACCATCAGCTGTTTTTTAATGTCAGGATCCGCTTCGATTTGTTAGACAAAGCCGTATTTGATGATTTTCTGTTGAATAATTCTGCACTTGAAAGGCTTATTAAGGCTTTGTACATAAACACCTCAGAATAAGGTCACGGAATTCTCTCTAGTCCAAACGTAGTGGTAGACAGGGTTGCGCAGTTCCTCCATTCCTCCTTGATTTTGCTGTCAGCAATATTTTGCAAGCAGCTCTGAAGGAAGTACGTGTTGATTATGTGAATCTGTTACCTGAAGAAAAGACTCATTGAATATGCAGATGACATGGCCGTACTAGACAATGCTATTTAAACCCCCCATTGTACCGTTTCGTTTTATAAATAAATAAATAAAGTATTCTTTGATGTTAAATTTTCACATATCAATCTTTTTTCGTAACTTCTTTTTTTGACTCAGTTTGAAACTACGGGTTATGGGCTTTCAAGACTTAATGGCTCATACACGAAAGTTGGAAATGGAAAAAATTGATTTACAGCAAGAATGTGAAGATCTTCGTCTGAAAGTAAGTAGTTTATTACATGTACCTTCATTCATTCTTTTTTTGCTTAGACGTCATTGCGGTTTGACTCAGTTATTTTATTTATTTATTAAAACGCATTAACATTAGTACAAGGAGGCACCAAATATATATGCGTCATACAATAATAACGAGGTTGTAAAGAGATAGAGAACTTAAAGTGCGTATAATAAAAGAAGAACAATGACGAAAAGGAATTGGTGTTTGAGGGTGAAGTAATAATAATAATAGGGGAAAAATTCATTTACGAGAAATACGACCGAAAAGAATTCTTTTGGTTGAAGAAGTTACGTTCATTTTTTCATGGAGAACGTAAAATAAAGTTACATCAGGATCGCTGCTGGCTTCTGTTCTGAGTCATGTCCGGTAAATTCTCTTGCCAGTGTTGCACCATCTCTAGGACCCTAACCAAGGAGTCGTGAAGGACCAACAGAAGCCTGACCTGTACAGATTTCTTCCATACCACGACACTGTGTCATACATTGACTACCTCTCTGCTCCAGAGATGTCCCAGTTAGACAGAAGCTTCTCTGGCTTTCACCACACATAAATTGATCTCGTCGCTCTCGCTACCATCAGCACTTGTGCAGCCACCCATATATACGAACTTCTCAACTACTTTTACCCCCTCACTACTCAGGGTGAGTTCAGGTTCAGGGTCCTGTCAATCTTGTAAAAGTACCTCGCATTTGGAAGGTACAAAGCAAATACCGTACTTACGGACACTAATTGCCAACTGATTAAATGCGTATCACATGGCTTAGGTGTTATTCCACAGTAAGACAATATCGTTCGCATACTCAAGGTCGGGAAATCTTTCTCCAGAAAACAGATCCACACATCCATCAGAGCTGTTTCCAGAACATCGTCGATGGAGAAATTGAAGAGAAATGGTGAGATTGGGCAACCCTGTCTCATCTCATTGGTTGGATGGGACAATGCAGAGAATTGGTTGCATATCCTCACTCTGCCTAAGGTGTTTGTATATAGGGCTTTCAAGATGTTAATGAACTTTTTAGACACACCCCTCTTCAGTAGTCAATCCCAAAGAACAGTCCTGTCCAGCGAATCGAAGGCGACCGTAATGTCAAGAAAAACTACGATTGTTAGCCTTTGATAAGTATGACGGTGTTCTAACATTCTCGACAAGAACAAAAACTAGACTGCTCATCGCAAGTCAATCTTCCTCGGGCTTTGAACAATCTACGAAAAATGACTGAAGCCAATCGTTTGGACGCAATAGAAAGTAGACTCACCCCTCGATAGTTGTTACAGAAACGACGTGAACCTTTTTTAAAGATAGGGACAACTGTCGACTCATTCCATTAAGTTGGGACACTTTAATTGCCAGACAATTGATGGATTGGGGCTAACAGTGGATTTCAGAACACATGTTTTATCCTATTCGGGACCCATCAGGTGGATACATCTACATCATCCGTGTTGGTGTCTACGTTGGGAATGAGATGGTGGAGATTTTTAGCTCAGGTGGATGATTTTGGTGGAGTTTTGTTCTCTGAGCTGGATGGACCAAAAGGTAAAAGATCGTCTTCAAGATGTAGTTTTATCTGTTAGAAGAAATGTATGGGGTTATGCAAAGAGGTGTGTAAAATCCGTTATAGGCCAGCTATATTACGGAAACCTGGTAGCCATGAATATGTTCGGTTTTGGGGTTTCATTTCCACTGATGTTAGTGTTTAAAATCTTCACACCCAATAGAGTATAACAATTTTTTGGCTCAGCCGTAAGCACATTCTTCTTCGAGTTTAAAATTTCAATCTTCTGAATGAGTATGTTGACATCTGTTGTATTATACCTTGAATTTGAGGCATATTAATTGTTTATTCGACTATTGTTTAGTTCTGCTCCTCACCTATACTTCAGTTTTAGGAAGTTACTGTAGTATTACTGACTTATGTACAACATCTACGGCTCAAAGTACCACACCTATAAACTTATACTTAATTACTTCGTTGTATCACGTTTAAAGTAAGTCAATTAAAATAGTTTTCTTATAATTACTTCCAAACATCATACGATCCATGGCATATGTTGTAAAGAAAGGTTATATACTTTGTACATTAAATATTTGTGTTCACTTTTTAAAAAATGAAATCTTATAAAATTTAGTTTTTTGTTATAACAAAAAAAACGTTTTAAACTTTATTATTGGTAGGTAGATCAACAGCTTTCTCAATTAAGAGAGTTCAAGGAAAGACGTATTAAATGTAGTGAAATTGAAGAACTCAAGTCAAAATTACGTGATGTTGAAGCTCAAGTAAGATTCATATATAAGAAAATGTTTTTAAATAATTAGAGTAACTTATTGTGTCATTGAATGGAATATTAATATAATTCAGCGAAGACAATTTTCTTTTCAACGATACCATTTACTAAAGCTGTACAATCATATAGTGATTTATTAAAAACGAGTCTTTAGAAATATAAGTGTGCTTATTAACGTACAGAACCCTTCTCTATCACACAGTACTCCTACTTACGGTTAACACAAATGAATATGAATTATGAGTGAATCTGTTACCTGATATTATGCGAGCCTTAAACTATGTATTAAACTGGAAATTGATTTTGTGCGTTAAAATGACCATAGAACAAATTGATAGAATTTTATGGCATGTATCAGTTAGCAGTGGATTAATTTTACTCTAGGCCGATCTATGAGCATGTTTTATTTACTTTCTCAAAGCAGCGGCTCAGTGGTTGGGAAGTTTGACTTCCAGCCACTTAGCTGCAGGTTCGAATCCCACTCCGACTACTTCGGTCAGGGCAGCGATATAGTATTCATAATCTTTACACTTCGAATAAGGCTCAAAGCCAAGTACACACATTTACACTTCCGGTGGCTACTGACAAGAAGGATTGTGATTTTTTCTATAATCGCTACATTTATTCAAGCACATAGCTAATTCGGTATTCACTTGTAAGCTGGAGGGTGTTTGACGTAGTTAATACTCATCATCTTTCTTCTTGTACTATATCTCTATATGCAATCTTTCTCTTGTATATTACCACCTTTTACCCAACCACTGTTATGAATCTGGTGTTCATCTTGTTGTGCTGATGCGGTATGGCAACCTGGACCGATGCACATATGTGCCTGGTCCTACGTTGTAGCTGTCTGACTGACTGACATCAGTATGGTATATCACCAATCTATTTTGTAGTATAATCCCATTAAGTGTTGGCTCGAATGCTACTATATCATCCGTGCTCTCTGTCGAAATTCTTGTTATCATTGTTATTCATATTGTATTCTAACATAGTTATTTTCTATTCATAGTATGTCTTATGAAACGTTTTCTATTGTAATTTTTAAGTTGTTGCAACAGCTACGTGAACGTGAAATGATCGAAAAGGATATAAGACAACAACATGAAATGTCAACACAGCTTAAACTTCAATATTCCATAAAAAAGCTTCAACCCAATACTAAATCATTAGATATTCATCAATCTAAGTGTAATATAGAAGAAATTGAATGTAGTGAACAAGAAAATAAAGTTGGTAAGTTGATTTGCTGATTTATCATTATTTTATTAATATACACTAGTTTTATCATTGACTAGCTTACTTACTTACTTACACCTGTTACTCCTCGTGGAGGTGCATAGGCCTCCCACCAATACTCCATCCAACCCTGTCCTGAGCAATCCTTCCCAGCTCTTTTCAGTTGTTATTCATCCTTTTCATTTCTGTTTTTGTTTCCCGACGAACTTTGTTCCTCGTCATTCCACTTTTTCGTTTCCCTTCAGGATTCCAAGTTATTGCTTACCTCGTGATGCAGTTTGATGATTTGCGTAATGTATGTCCTATCCATTTCCATTATCTTTTCCTAATTTCTTCTTCAGCTGGAAGTCGGTTTGTTCTCTCCCACTGTAGGTTGTTGCTGATGATATCCAGCTAATATATGCTGAGTATCTTACGTAGACAACTATTTATAAATGCTTGTAACTTCTTGACGATAGTTGTAGTAGCTCTCCGCCTGTAGCTCTTCTAGAGTTACTGCCGGTTCCAAGCCCGGGTAAAGGAGGAGGGTTGGGCATGGGGTTAGCAACCCTATCCAGTAGAAAACTAACTCGCTAAAAAACGCTATCATTGACTAGCACTCTACTTTAATTATTTATATTGAGGATACTATATTCCCAAATACAGAGTACAAGAATAAAAATCAATTTTAATTTTGATTCAGTCGATTTCAACGCATTTTCTTGATTTCTGTCTATTAACTTTCACTGTGTGTCAGTTGTATTTGGTTATTTGTTTCTCAATACATTTTCATTATAGTGATTATTTCACTGATTTTCTATTCTATAATAATTATTCAATTAATGAAACTAATTAATAATCATTAAATTAGCTTGGATGCAAATTGAATCTTCTTCAGTCTCGTCCAACGAAAGTTGTTAACAAGGTTGTTGGATTAACTGGGGGGGAAGGGACTGGAAGTAGGTAGAGTTGTTTTGTACGTTATCACAACTTTTGTTCGAGTTTTTGCCGCATATCCGGTATGCACAACGGTTTTTGAGTAAAACCCTCAATTGTTGAATCTAAAGAACCTTATAATAATTCTGATTCTAAATAAAGCCAGAATAAACATGCATGCAGAATAATGTGAATTCATTGTATTTCGTGGTTTGTCATCAGTTGCTTACATTAAGGTAAGATTTAATGTCAAAAAATTGACATACATGAATGAAAAGAATTGGAATGACAAAGGTTATCATTAACAACTCTCTATATGTGTGCAGGGACAGGTCGAATGTCATTTGATACTGGAATCAAAAACGAAGGGGTGGATAATGTATTAATGATGTTCAGAGACAGATAAAATAAACTATATGATAATTTTAGAGGTAATAAAGGGTTTAAACAAGAGTCATGGAGATAAGATGGGTTACGTAATAAATGAACAGGATTTGAAGAGTTTACATAAGTGAAGAGAATTGAGTGAATTGAAATGTCTAAGTGAAGGGATGATTTTAATGTATAGAAAAATTCTGATGTCGGCATTATGCACTTGGTGGTTCCACTATTCTCAAACAGTATTTGAAAAATTTCTGTTGTCTAATTCCCGTGTCTCATATCCCCAAATTCTGAGAAATATTCTTATCCTTCAGTAGGTAAACGGATGTGTTTTCTGCTTCACAAATGACTCAACCAAGTTCTTGTCTATCTTTTAGTGTGTACACAATCCTATTCCTTTGCTTCATATCAATATTACCATCAGATTTTCTAACAACAGGTTTATTTACTATGACGCAGTTTCCATTACAGATCATGGAGATTAGCGAAGATTAAATGTGCCTGAAAACACAATCTCGTGTAGCTGCACAAGTTTACATAATTCATTGAAACTGTCACTCAGTGATTCCAGTGTATTTTCGTTAGTTGGATGACATTTTATTTTGTTATGATCTTATAGTCTCAATGACCTTGTTTAAATTGTCGAATTAATGTAAATAAATAATATACGAATATAAAAACTAATGTTGAAATTTTTTTATCTCATACTGTCCTTAATTTCTATCTCAGTCAGTTTGTAATTATGTTAAACAAAATGTGGATTATTCATTCACATGGTGTTATTCAACTAATTAAAAGAAGGTTTGTTTCTGTCCAATCTGTCAGTTAAGATAAATGTCTAAACTATTCCCCCCCCAAAAAAAACAGTTTAATATTATGAGTATATATACGTAAAATATTTTTCAATCAACCAAATTCTGATCATAATTCTAAAATCCATTTCATATGAATACTATGACTGATAAAACCCATTAAATGCATCTGTACAGTCGCAAATACTATTAGGTTAAAACCTAAGTTCATCAGTGTTTTTAAGATTCAGTCGATTAATGGTTGGGATGGGGTTCGCCTGTTACTCCTAATGGAGCATAGGTCACCGACCAGCATTTTCCAACCTACTCTGTCCTGGGTCTTCTTTTCTAGTTCTATCCAATTCTTGTTTATTTTTCTCATGTCTATTTCCATTTCCCGGCGTCTTGACATTTGTATTGAAAATCCTGACCTTGGTGTTGACTGACAGTTGCTTTGAGTTCCAGACGTTCCTCAGTTGTAAATATGCTGCTGTTGCTTTACCGATCCATTCATCAGTGTTTTTAAGATTCAGTCGAATAATAGCCACCGAAATATACCCAGGCAATTCATTGGTTACAAATCCAAAAATCTCATTTGTTGCCTCTTTTTATCTTAATGAATCTTCAATTTAATTTACATAATGTGCACAGAAAATAAGCATTTGTAATCTACTGATACTATATCAATTGCAACACACTAACTAGAAGTTAAATATTTGTATTATTGTCGGTCAGATTATATAATAAATATGTACATAAAGAAGAGGGTATACACACAGTATTTCTATTCAGTTAAAAATCATGTTTCTACTAATGTTCCAGCTGATAAAAGTCACTAGAATATCCTGTGTAAAAAAAGAATAAATCAAACAATTAAGAGTATCAAAACACATTTGCTTTATTGTTACTGAGGGGACTATACGCTTTCATGGAGGAGATCCAATCAAATGTGTTTATGCATAGTTACATTGAGTATTGAAAATCACTATTATCTAATAATGTAAATTAAACTGTCTATCGGGGTTTTAAAAAATCGAACCAGTACACATCCTGTCATATTCTACGTTGACTATGACTGACTAACTCATCATCTGTCCCAGTTAATTGTATGTCGTAAATCTACGGCATTCATTTTATCTGATCTTATTTACTCGACTAACCAAGTCTGGTTTGTAATTCCATGATCGTACCGAGCTATATCAAGTATCACCAGGTTTCATTGAACAAATCTAGTTTACAATTTTATACTTGGTCCTGAACGGATTTATTAAGTAGATATGTTGATAATAAACATGATTCTAGTAACTCACGTATATCATTTGAAATTTGTCTAAATTATGAATTTCCTTTTTGTGTGTTGTTTGTATGTATTATTTATATCTTATGGCTTTCTTTGTCATTTAATCGTCACGTACCGATCATTTTATTGAATAAATATATCTTAGGAAAATTCAAATCAACACCTTTCTATCATATAATCATATCAGTTGTAAACAAGTACTTAAAATAGGATGGTACTTGATAACTCTTCCAACTAATAGGTTGTAAGTTCCGATCTAGGTGCATTTACTTTCAGACAACTGAGTTGTATTGTTAACCCGTACACATAAGTAGTCGAACATGCAAAACTATCCTTGGTAAATGAGTTATATGAAAGAAATAGTAACTTTAACACCGTAAATCCTCATTTTTATGTGAAGTTTTATGTACGTTTAACTACTTTTATTTTTATTTTAACATATAGATATTGGTACAAAGAGACGAAATACATATGCGCCACACAGATCTCATTTGATATGTGTGGCGGTTGTGATACTGTCCGGGTGCCCGAACCGAAGCAAGTGGTTTTCTTAGGGGCCACACTCGGGGCCTTCGACCTGTAGGTCTGATCCACAAGGCAGTGGGACATCGTAAGTAGATGCAGTCTGATGGTATCCGGTGACCAACGATAGGTTCACACACTATTTGTTGCTTCAGGGTACTGGAGCCCATGTGCACCATTGATTTGGAATCATGGTTTTCCAACTCTCCTAGGTGGATTCTCTGTGTGCAGCAACCCGGTTAAAGCGTCAGAGATTCGTTTTTCGTCCTCTGAATTTTGTAAACAACACCGGTGGCGCGAGAAGGCAATGAGTAGGACTTCCCTGGCAGACGCTATATATGCGTGGCCATGTGAGAGCATTTGGAGAGGGAGAGCTGACTCTTTCCACTCTCAGTCATACCAGGGCATTTGCGTGTAATATTGTTAATTGTGTTCACTGTAATCCCACCAATATTATTTCTGTTCTAATTTCAGATGATATTCACTTATTCAGTTTATAGTTTATTTAAACCACACCGTTGTTGTTTGCATTTTTATCCTAAAGTTGATCAGCATTCTATTTTGAATAATTCATGTCAAGATTTGTCTATTTTGAAACCTGGTGAAAATTTGGGAACAGTATTAGAGGATGATTTGAAATCTGCCCGTTTATTCATATCGAAACTACAAGTAAGCTCATTTCAATCAATGTGATTGTCCACTTATTTTTTCATAGGTTGATTTTCAATAAGTTCTTAGAACATTTCGTAGAATTGTCAATATAACATATAGTCCCATAGTTATAAACAATATATAGCGATGAACGGAACGCTTGACCGTTGTTTCTTTAATGTGGTCTAAGGAGTTTTTTTGTTATAGTTCATATGATTAGATGTCAAGTTTTGCGTACTTCAGCTCAAGAAATTAAGTAGTATCTTAGTTTGATATTTTGTTCATATTCTAATAGGTTTATCCTATTACAGTTTTTAAATCGTGGCTCGTCGTAGCAGACAGACCTTAAATATTGGTTAACTGTTGGTTCACGATATAAAACTCAGTGTTATTATACTGTTATATAATTCTCAATAGTGCTACTTATTTGCTCAAATTCCATGAAGTCAAGTAGAGTTCAAGTTCATGATCCAATGATTAGATTTGCTTTGTATCAAAAATTTTTTGTAGTAATAAAAGTCATAGGTATTTTTTTGCTTATCTGTTTTTTATACTGATAAAACATTTAAATAATCAACACTGACCTAGTGGTTATTACGTTACCCAGTTTATCATGGACATTCATTCATGTATAAGACAAAAACGAATACCCGCACCTGTTGTTCTCAAATACGTTTCTATCATTAAGTGTTATGTACTCTAATAGTTGACAATCTGAAATGTCAGTCACATCGTTATAAAACAATAATACTTACTTTTATACAATGATCGAATTTGTGTGTTTCGATTGATTGCACTTAACTCTCTGGATCAAATTTGTTGATAGATTTTATTAGACTTACTAATAATCGTTTGCAATGGCGCAAGTGCATACACTCTTTGTGTTCTCCCAAATTTTGATCTCCTTATTCCTCCTTGTCTCTTTTTTTCTCCTCTCAAATTTATTTCACTGCATTATACTCTTTAAATAACATCTCCAAACACTAATTTTCCTGATTATTACTTATACTCTTATTACCTCTACCACTACGGGATTCGAATCGACCACGGCATCTCTGTGCTAATGTGGTGTGGCAACTCGAACTGATGTACGTACGTACGAAGCTCTACGTTGTTACTGACTGACTGACTGAAATAATTACTTTATAAATTGATTTATAAACCAATAACAAATATCCGTCATAATTTTCTAGGTGAATTTGATATATCATGCAATGTATTTTCACACATTAATATTCATAAGAATGTTTTCCACAGAAAACGTTATTTTTCGCTTATTGCAATTCAACACACACTCACTCATCCTTTAAAACTTAAAGCTATTGTGTTCGCTTCTATCACATTGTAAATCACCCATCTCCGAGTTTACTTGTTTCCACCAAACCAATCAATAGAGATTCTTATTATTAATATTATTATTATTACTATCATTACCCCTGTTACGTCATCGTATTTTCTGATTCCTATATGTTTAAAAAATTTCCTTATTATCTAAATTTCTTTTCTTTCAGTCACAATTCGACGAAGAACTTGGTTCAGCTAGACAACTGCTTGAGGAAAAAACTAAGCGTTTATATGAGCTTGAACAAATTATCAGTAATAGGCTATCAATAACTGAGGTAGGAATCTTGCATAAATTTGTTTAACATATAAACGAGTTTCCTTTTTTATTCTTAAATAAAGGATATCTGCTTTTTATCTCACTTATATTCATTTTCTGACAGACTATTGATGTCACTACTCAAACTGAAATGTCTTGTACAACAAGAACGACAACAACTAGTCCTAATGAATTATTATCTCCGGAATTATTGCCCGCCTTAACGGTTGATGCGTATAATGCTGCGGCAGCAGCAGATCGAAGAGGTCTTTCGAACGAATTAGTTCGTTTACATGAAGAAATAGCTCAATCAAAAAGTTATGCTTGTGAATTGGAACAACGGTTGACTGAAATGGTGAGTTACTTGTTGATATTATGTGAAATGTTTTCTATCCTGGAGCGTAAGTCATTTGTAGTTGTGTAGGATACTTGCTCCATGTATTCTCACTCTCAGTCAATGATAATCTAATTGTTAAAGTAATTACTCCATTAAAAAAGTAATTCCAACTGTGAAGTCATGATGATCATGATGTTTGTTTCACATTTCTAATCGTTGATAACTGCAGCATGCTATTTTGGTTAAATGGTAGATACGTTTTCATCGTCAAAATTCCATTTGCTTCTTTAATAGGGGTTAATCGTTAATTCATTGTTAGGTGACGACTTAGTAGTTAAAGCATTTGGCCTTCAGAGGTTCGAACCCCGATTCATTCATCTTAGTTTAGTGATTCGGTCATTATCACTAACTTTCATACACAGTATGGATCAAAAGCCTAGTACCTTAACATGTACTTGTTCAATGGTTTGCATTAATTTGTAAAAATATACTGTAGATTGTTTTCCACTGTTATTATTTTTCCTAACAACCACCTAGTGCCAATATTCCTATCATGTGACCATCAATTTTGTAATTGTTTCTTTCAGCTTGTAAAATCGATTATTTTAAGCTTTAGAAGACACTATTTTACATTGATTGATTTTCTCTTTCACATTTTTTTCCTTTTTTTGACTGACTATGAAATAAATACTACAATCTACAGTCACATCCCGATTCCTTATGTTCTTTCTTGTTGAATAGTTTTTTCACTATTGCACTTCATTTGATTTGACGTTAATCAAAACAAGATTGAATTAAGTATGATATAGATTCCCATAGAATTGGAACAGTAATGAACATTTGTATTAATACAAAAGTTTATAAATAATTTATATATTCTGAAAATAATAATAACAGAATTTACTCCAGTTTACAGGGGCATGATCAATTCGATATAAATAGTAATATTAGATGTAGTGAACAAACATGTGATAGAAGAAAGTTTTAAGTGTACTAGTTCAGTAATTGTTTAAGTAGTATATGTATTACAGCGATCCAATGCATTAGCCGTGAACTTTTGATTTTTCCTAAATGGACACAGACTGTTGATTTATGAACGGTGTAATTAAAGTCATTTCCTGTGCCAGATCGAATTAATGATAATTATCTACAACTAGAGAAATGAAAACGAAAACAGAGAGCACGGAACAACAAAGTAATAATAACTAAAATATGCCTATCGTGTCTACCATAATGCATATGTCATATGACTCAGTGATATACTGTTGATGTTATTCAAATTAGTTAAACTTGCTAGGTACGGTGTTAACATAACGTGACAGCAAGTAGGTGGTTTTACTTAGCGAATGCACTAACAAAAATGGCTAAACACTTAAAGATCTTATAATACTAGTGGAATAAGATACACTTACAGATGGCTAGAACATTCAATGCATTTTCAGAAGAACAGTAGGCATCGATGCAGCGAACAAATAATGGGAGTGATTGTATCGTACGGATAGATTGTGGTAGGTTATTTTAGAGTTTAGAAAATTTACAGGTAAAGTGATTCATATAAAGAAATGATTTAGAATAAGTTTGTTTCACTAGTGACAAGGAATTACGGATGTCATAATGGCAAGTTTCTGCATATTGAATCACGTGATTGAATGTAAAGGATAGTTTATTAAGTAGTTTGAAGAAAAAGATAAGATTTAATTTGAGTCTCCTCTTCCACAAATAGTCTCGCCCAAGTTTATTACATCTAGAATTATAAGTTAAGGTACAATCAGCTCCAAGAATACGAAGTGTAAATCGTCTCTGTACTGATTCCAGCCTTAATTTATCCTTTATGCGCTCACTGCTAACAATAAACGTGCAATATTCTAGAAGTAATCGAACAAAAACTTTGTACATTAAAATACGTGACTCATTGTTGTAAAGGTTTCGAACTAAGTAACCTACTAGACGTTGAGACTTAGAGGTTTGTTTCAATATCTGTTCTATAAACGACAAGTCGTGGGAGTACCTAAGTCATGTGTGTAACCTAGATAACACTTAACTTAAGGTCTAATTTGAGTGATTTATCACCGAAGCATATCCATCCACATATAGCTGTATTAAACTGCAGCTGCTATTTTGAGCACCACTGTGCTACCTTGTTAAGCTTCATGTTTATGCAATTTTGCATACTGTTCAGCTCATGAAAAGAAGATGAATACATTACTTTAAGATCATCTACATACAGAAGTGGCTTACCCACACAAAAACATTCGCAAATATCATTGATAAACACTAAAAAGAGCAAAGGGCATAAGACAGTACCGTGTATTACACCACTTCTGACAGGGACAGCATTAGAAAATGAAGAGTTAATTTTAACTATTTGATGTCGATTACTGAGAAAAGAATCAAACCAAGCTAGCAAAGGATTCTGAACTCCATATGATGCGAGTTTACCTATAAGAAGTTGGTGGCTAACCATGTTGAACGCTCGAATTTACACGAGTGACCTCTATATAACTCGTCCATTCGTGTTTTTTTGCTAAAAACGAACCAATCATCATAGATTTGAGCTTCACTGAGCATGTAATCGTCAGGATTCTCTGTCCTGTTAACCTTATCTTAATAAATGATGAATGTAATATGGATTATTTTGTGAAGACTAATGAGTACCACATGACTTGTAAGTCAATCTATAAGAAATCTGATGTTTCAGTCAGTACACGATCTATTGTTCTAATAACAAGTGGCTATCTGACCATCTAGTGTTCTATGTGGCAAAATAATTAACTTCAACACCTGATACGGCTTGGTAAAATTTTCATTAGTATATTTAAGTGAATTTTAGAAATTACATTGTAATTGATGAAAGCATCTTGATCTTTATTAGTAAAGTAAATTTCTTCGAATGTGTGATTGATAAAGATGTTGTCTACGGAAACGTACTTTGAGTAGTTTTTAATTTGAACGTCTAATTATTCTACCACTTTATGCAAAAACCAAGCCTATAGCAAATCAAATGAATATGAATTTTAGATTAGTGTAGATTTTAATAATTAATAATGGCGTAGAAGTTTTAGAACTCGTTTGTTTTATACCCTCATTGATACAATATAATACAATGATTTTTAATCAATACATTTCAAATCTCGCTCTATCTACTTACTTCAGCTTCAGTAACTGATTATTCTCTTGCCGTCTAAAGTTGATTACATAAACATTTGTAACTGTTACTTGCTTGAACTAGACCAACTTTTTAATACTTCCAGAGAGAGAGAGAATCGAGTCATTAATTTGAACTTGAATCACTTTTTTTCAAGACGGTTGAAATAATATCATTGGATTTTATTTATTTGTTTATTTAAACACATAAACATTGGTACAAGGAGGCACCAAATACATTTGCATCACATAGATCTCATTTGATATGTGTGAGGGCTGTGATACTGTCCGGGTGTCCAAATCGAAGTAGGTGGTTTTCTTAGGAGGCCACACCCGGAGCCTTCAACCTGATCCACAGAGCAGTGGAGCATCGTAAGGAGATGCAGTCCCATGGTAGTCGGTAACCAACAACTGGTTTATGTGCCGTTTGTTTCCTCAGGATCCTGGAGCCCGTGTGCACCATTGGTTTGAAATGAGGGTTTTCCAACTCCCCTAGGTGGACTATCCGTGTGCAGCGACCAGGTTAAAGCGTCAGACATTCGCTTTTCATCCTCTCAATTTTCTAAACAACACCGGTGGTGTGAGAAGGAAATAAGTAGGACTCCCCTGTTGGTAGTTTTATGCACGTGGCCATGTGAGAGCATTTAGAGAGGGAGAGCTGACTCTCCCTACTCTCGGCCGTATCAGGGGATTCGAACTCAAATCGTATGTTTTACCTAAAATTAATTCCTTCCACTCAATTCATAATTTCGTTTATGAAAATATTCGATCAACTCAGGTCATAAATGAAACTGTTGAGATTAATTTGAAAAAAAAAACTCATTTTTACTTATACTCATAGAAAAGATGAAGTTGTAACGATTCACATAATTCATACTGTTCACCTATTTCTTCAATAAGTCCGTTCAGTATATTTTACTTTGTTTTTTTATATGAAATAAAAAATGTCATATTCAACTATTATCACTTTATGGTTATACGTGTACACCTTGTTTTGCACATCATTACATAATCTATCAACCTTCTATGGTTGTATTTTCCAAATGAGATCATGCCAACTAGTGAATTAATATGAAATACATTAATGTAAACACAATTTCAGACAATTATATCATCAAATAGAAAATTTTCTTCACTGAATTTCGTTTACCTTAGAAGATAGTGACCAGACACATATGTATATATATCTGTATATGTATATGAAAAGTAGGTGTATACACATCATTTGAAGTAGTCTGGTATTAACTTTTGTCAAAGAAACAGATTTATACATTTCTGTTCGTGATGAAATAACTTTGGACATAATTTCTAAATCTAAATGTTTTGGTATTTAAATACAGATTGGTTGACAGTTTGCTTCTACTACTGCGATTAATGGCCTTGAAATCTAATCGATAAGTAATTTAGTCGTTGTTCTTATACAACAGTATATCCGGTTCCCAAAAAGTTCATAAGCATGTGCAGCAACCTGACTTAATGGTTAAAACATTTATCTTCCAACTAATCAATTTGAAACCTAACTTCACCCACTTTGGTTTAGGGAGTCGGGTAATATGACCGACCGTCATACATAAAAGTGCGACTGAACGCCGAGTACGTAAATTTGTAATTGATGAATAAGTAGCATTTTAGACTTATAAATAAAGTGAGGTTTAAGAAGAAAAATATCTTTATCACACACGTGCTGATAGTGTAGTGAATGCAAACTCAGGTAGAGAAGACCAACTTATTGTTCGGCACAATATTACAGAATGTTTTCATAAAATATGAAAACCATACAGTAAATACTTCATTTGCACATCTCTCATCAGTTTCATTCATAACTTTATTTTGACTGAACATTTGTCGTGAAGATTTTAGTAATACGAAGCATGCTAAATGCATAGTCATAGGTGAGAGCATTTCAAAGTGCAACATAATAATAGTCATTAATACTGTTGGGGTAGAGTGTTCTTTAATAAACTGTGTAAGAAGAACAAAAGTACACTGTGAAAGTGGCATAATTGCAACACTATGTGCGTTTCCAAATAGACAGTACGGCGAAAAGCGATTGCAGTCCAGAAACTTACAGTACTTGTGATAATCTACAACCTTTTTCGGATCTGAACATATCAGTTTCCTCATGGAATACTTTTTTGATAAGTCAGTGATTGGTGAATACCTACTCATTTAAAGTATAGTAATAATCGTTTCGTCGTATTAAATGCAATATTTTTCTTAATTAACGGTTCAACCTGCTCCTATTCATTTCGATGTATACATAGTATAACTTTTTTAATTATCTACAGGAAGGTGAATTACACTGTACAAAAGATAAATTAATCTACCAAACTACTTTAAGTAATAGAAATCAAGAAAATTGGATTATGATAGAACAAGAATATCGTGAATTACAGCGTCAGCATAGAATATTACAAAACAATTTATTGTTAAGTGAAGAAGAACGTTCTCGTGGCGGCGAAATGATGATTGCAGAAAATAATGCTGAATTTGAAGCAGCACGTGCGAATTATGAGAAAGAAATTGGCTTATTGAATGTAAGTTAAATAAATAAGCTTTCGTGTATGTGTCTGTGTATGTTTAACACATCTTGTTTTAGTGTTACTGTTTCGTCATTTATTTGAATAAATAAATATTGGTACAAAAGTGCACCGAATACATATACGCCACATAAGTCACTTGATTTGTGTGTGGGTTGGAATACTTCCCAAATTAAAACAGTTGGTTTTGCTAGGGGGCCACTCTCCGAGAATTCGACCCATAGGTCGTTAGGAGATATGGTCCTATGGTAGTCAGTGACCAACAACATGTCTGTGTGCCATTTGTTTCCTCAGGATCCTGGAGCCCGTGTGCACCATTGGCTTGGAATCAGGGTTTACTAACTCTCCTAGGTAGATCTTTCGTACCTACAAACCCGGTTAGAACAACTTACATTCGCTTTTCATCCTCTCAATTTTGTAAACAACACTGGTGCCTCGAAAAAGAAGTGAGTAGAACTTCTCTGGCAGTGGTTGTTTACGCCTGGCCATGTGAGAACACTTCTAAAGGGAGAGTGTTGGGGACATTAGATCCCCAGAACTCACTTGGACAAGGACCTAATTTTGTAATTTTATTTAGAAAATTTGATTTCCCTTGTTTCACACCAAAGGCGCTCTTGTCACCTTCATGTCTTATTTCCTACTGGGAAATATCTTAAATACCATTGGTCCGTTGCGTCTTTTAGTATGCAATTTAGTAACTCTCCCCATGGACGGTTTTGTACTGTATATATACGTTTTGAATTGTGTTTATTGTTATCGCTCGTTTCTGGCTGTTTGCAGAGTATACTTCTCATTCCAAGCTTGGACTTCTCCCTCTAGTTAGTGGGGTTGGGACGCATCAATAGCTAGCTTATTGGTCTTTGGTCAACGAGTCTTTGTTCTCGTTCGCAGATTAAGTGAACTCGTGATAGCTTCAAACCTAGCAGAGAGCAGACTCTCCCCACCCTCGGTTGTAATTAGGGCATTTCGGGGCAAAATTCTGATGCTTTGCCGACTGAGCTAGCCGGACTCGACTGTGTTAGTTACTTCTCTGCTAACTGATAACTTGTGTCTTTAGTTTTCACATACCATATTTTACTTTAAATGTATCTGGATCGTGTTTAACAATGGAATCCAAGGTCTTAGTTTCAGACTCGTTAGCTAGATATCTTTGCACATAGTAATACCCATTACAATGTACTCACAATTTATATTTACCAACAGAGATTGATCGATTTAGTCTTGACATTTATACAATTAATTTGTACGTCGATTTGTTGAATGCTATTACTTCACAAATCAAATTACTGCCAATTTTCACTATTGATTAATTGGTAAACAAATCACTTTTCAGGTAACTGAACCTTAGTGTTTCAATGATCATGATGAATTTTTTAAAATTATCTAACCGCTGAATCTGATGGTTTAATTTCAATTAATTTGTAATATTGAACCAGTCAAATTATCATTAAACTCGACACTAAATGATAAAGCATCAGTATGTGATATATCTATATGTATAATACAGTGACACCAATCATCATATGATGTAGTTATATAATAATAATATTTATTTATTTATAAAAAAATGCTTTAGTTCATTGTTATTTGTTTGATCAAATTAACCATTCCCATGACACATAGGTGTTTTGTTCAATTATCAAATTGTGTATTAGTTACTTGAATTTATTTCAAATCTAACTAACCCATTTATTGATTATTTGGAGTAGCTTATTTCAGGGCATTCCTGTTACACTATACGAACTTGTTCATTATTTTTATTTTAAAAAAAACGAACCCTGATCATTTTAACGTTTATTAAATAATAATAATAATAACACTATTACATATTTTAGAAAACACGACACACCTAATGGATGTGATGATTATGATATGTATTTATAGTATATAGTTAGTTATATAGTTATATAATATACTCTTGTGGGTCAGGGTAATTTTACATTGGTTTCCAGGAGAACTAGACACCATCCCGACTTTCATGTGACAACTCAAACAGTACAGCACAATCCCGCTTCGCAGGAGAACTAAACACCATATAGGCGAAGTCGTACTGCTGACTGTAGAGGGGTGTGACAGCAGTGATGTGTTTCCCTCGGACAACCAGCATCTGCAGCGATGCTGCCTTCTCACAAGGAAGAAAGGGGTTAGGAAACGTTGACCCTAAAAATGTTACATCTCACCTTACCTCACGGATTTCCATCTCCGGCGGTAAGGTCCTTTGAAGAAGGGAGCTAACACATTAAAAGCCTCCCACGAAAAGGCCGTGCGCGACCGGCTTCAAGCAGTCGTCCTTTAAGCTCTGTGGTCACGCTCCCAGGTCGTTAAGACCAACACTAATCCGACTTCCTTCTCAGGTTCCTCAAGGAATACCCTTGCACGGTGTGGGCAGCCGGGAAGTGATATCATCCCTCATCCACGTTACAGCACACGAGGCCAAGTCGGTCACAAATTCCTAATACCGGTTTCCTTCTCAGGTTCCTCAAGAAATACCCTTGCACGGTGTGGGCAGCCGGGAAGTGATATCATCCCTCATACACGTTACAGCACACGAGGCCAAGTCGGTCACAAATTCCTAATACTGGTTTCCTTAACAAGTCTAAACAGTTGTCTGCTGTTACCTATTGCCGCTGCATTTTCTATCTCTCTTGATTTCTCTACCCACCACTGTTCACAATCATTGTCAGCTTGCGCATAAGCTGACTACGCTCCACCGACTGCCTCGACGTGCGATGTTTTATGGTGTAGGAGTAGGTTGGAAGAAAGCTAGGGGCGGCCAGACCGAAACATGGCACAAGTCCATGAAATCACTGACAAGTGGACTGAGTCATGTTGGTAGGTGTAGACTACCTGGTTGTGATCCGCGAGACGATAGCAACCGATGGTTAGAGACGTTGAATGACATGGCTCAAAATCGTTTGCAATGGTGCAGGTGCATCCGCTCTTTGTGTTCTCCCAAATTCTGATCTTCTGAATTCTTCATGTCCCTGTTATTTTTCTCTTTTCAAATTGATTTCACTGTATTATACTCCTTGAATAACATCTTCAAGCCCTAATGTGTTCCGATTACTGCTTATACTCTTACCACCTCTACCATTACGGAATTTGAGTTGACAACTGCATCTCTGCTAATGTGTTGTGACAACTCGAACTGATTTACGTACGTACGAAGTTCCACGTTGTTACTGACTGAGTGATAGGCTTTAACGCTACAATTTGAATAGTACAGCTCAATCCTGTGGCGCAACCATATAGGTACCAAGCGCCCTGGTAGACCATTCGCACAATTCATATGCACATTCACGTCACATATATAGATATTTCGATCAATGATCGCGTAAATCAATTATCCACAGCATGAACAGACCAGTATATAGCATATACATTATTTGTATTTGTTGTCGTTGTGGTAACCTGTTGTGTGGTAGTATAAAATGGTTATATTGATAAATAACATTGTTCAATGTCAGTTGGGCCACGTTTTACATATGCCCAAACACCGATTACCACGACGTGCAATGCTAACCGGTGTTCGGAATGGTTGGAAGAAAGTTAGGGGCGGACAAACCAAAACGTGGCATCAGTGCTTGAAGTCATTAACTTCTAGTCTAAGCCATGTTGATACATTCTACTTGGTTGGGGTCCGCGTGACTATCGTAACCAATGGTTGTAGACTCTTGGTGACATGGCCCAGAATCGATCACAATGGCGTCGGTGTATGCACTCTCTGTCTTCCTTTAAACTAAGAGATTAAAATCGCTTCATATCTTTCTTTCCACGAACTAATTCTTTCTTCCTGTACCATATCCTTATATGCAATCTTTCTCTTATATATTACCACCTCTGAAATAACTACTTTCATGAATCCGATGTCCATCTTGTTGTGTTAATGAGGTATGGCAACTTGGACCGATGCACATGTGCCTGGTCCTACGTTGTAGCTGACTGACTCAATGTCAGTCACAAATATGTACACATGTATATGTTCTTTACTACTTCTTTGTTCGTCTGGACTGTCACCACGAGTTGTCTCTTTTTCTGTTTGCTTTTTAATTTTTGTAAGATTCTCCTCTGTATCCTTCAGTTAGAGAATGTCGAATTCAACATGTATATTTGTCCCAGTTGTTGTGTTTCTAATAAATTTCTAGGAAAAAAATGTTAAACTTATGCCAACACACATCTATATGATGGGCTTTTAACTACATACTTTTTGTGATTGTTAGTGTTACTGTCCATCTGTTCGAATTGGATGAAGCTAAACACTGTTCAAATATGTAACTTAATTATTACAAACTGACTCATTCAACCAGATACAAATTTGAGTATCATTTTACTTCTAAAATTTGGTTATTTGAGTTAAACATCTGTTCTATGTTAAACAAATACTACTTGGTAATTTGATGTACATGTATAAATGTTTATCCACTTTTTCTTGTTGATATGACTGAGTTTATTTATTATTTGAACACAAAAATATTGGTAGAGACGTGTATGCGCTACACAAAGTAGTTATAATAAATTAGTGTGTGGTTTGGGACACTGTCCGTCTGCCAAAATTAAAACAATTGGTTTTCCTAAGCGGCCACCTTCCGTGAATTCGACCCATAGGTTTTATCAACAAGGGAATGGATATAAAGTTAGGAGATGCGGTCCCATGGTAGTCGGTAACCAACAACAGGTTTATGTGCCATTTGTCCCCTCAGGATCCTGGAGCCCGTGATCTTTATTGGTTTGGAATCAGGGTTTTCCAACACCCCTAAGTGTATCCTCCGTACCTACAAACCCGGTTAAAACACCTTACATTCGCTTTTCGTAAACAACATCCCGATTCTCCGATAAGGTTCTCCCAACCACTCAGCAGAATGAATAAATATGTAAAGTAGGAAGTTTATATCTCACTAATCAATAACTCTATATGTTGACTTCTACTTCAACCACTTTCTATCATTTTATCGTTACAACGTGATTTTTTTCTGAAATTCTTTCTTTTCTTTTCTCAAGCAACAATTATTAGAGACAACATTTGAATGTCGTCGTCTGGAAGCAGAACGTGCTCGTGTAGCTGAACGTAATTCTGATTTACAACGTGAACTAGAAACGACTAGAATTTTGGTAGATTCATTAAAACAAAATTCGGAATGCAAACCAGTTGAATATTCAAATCATATTAGAAAAAGTGCACCGATTATCTCATCAAATCTACGTTTACCCTCTTCAATGCCCAATGGTGATAATAATAATGGTATTTGTAATAGTAATGGCTTGTATTCAAAAGGATATAAAGCCAATCAAAGATGTCTTAGCGATTCACTTGAAGATTGGGAGGATAGCGATCATGATCACGTTGATCTTAATGTTTCACCATCACATCAAATTCGATCATCAATATATCCACATGAAGTTAAGAGTAAATTAAATCATCACTATAATCGTGATTATTCGTGCATTGTAAATAGTCGCTTAAACGATGAGTCCCGTAAGCCAGAATATAATTATCCTAATAATGAAGAGTCAAGATATTTAAAGAGTAAAAAACGTCATTCAAAATTACGTACAGATTCAAAACAGTTAGATCGACTTGCTTCTAAAACACAAGAATTGGAGGAGTTTGCTATTCGATTGCGTGAACAATTTAACGAGGTAAAACTTTGTATTTTATTTCTAGTTACCCTAATTTTTTTCATATTCTAATGTTCTATCACAATAACTGTGATTAGCGATTAAAAACTTTATGGGACACGACTCATCAGTCACCATGGTTCAAATGCATTTACACTTGACTTTCTTCTAGATATTATATTTTAAAATTACTTAATACTTTTTATTTCACCAATTCCATTCTTCCCGAATCTCTACCTAAACCTAATCTTTTCTAAAATCACTGATATTATTATTTCTACTACTCTGACATTTGTCTTGATAACGTTCATCACGTTGTTCTGATATGGTGTGGCAGCTTAAACTAACCCATATATGTGCCAGATTCTAAACTCCTGACTGACTAAACGAATCTCTCATCTTGTTATCTCTTTCCAGTTAGTTTTATTGATGAGTAATATACTTGACATGTATGAATGAGTACTGATTAACAGAAATCACTATGTTTCGTAATTTCTTCAACTTTATCTATTCTCTTTCCATGCATTTTTGTCTGTTGTACACATGCAATCAGTTTTTCAGTGTTTGTTCCGTTTATATGGTAGGAATTTCTTTCCCTTTGTTTTATGAACTTGTTTAACACATTATATTTATGTTAAATCAAATAGTATCTCTTAATTTGATATTGTACAGATCTTATCAGAGGAAGAGGAGAATTCTGAAGTACGTCTAAGAAATGTGATTTCTCCAACTCTTCTGTATACTTACATTATATACATGCATGTGATCAACGTATAATTAGCGTAGGCTTTTCAGCTCTTAGTGTATATCATACTTCCTATTTTAACGAAAATATGAATATAGCTTTCCACTCTAGAATTGCATGCCAATGTTGACATCTTTTTCATATTTAAGATGCATGACTTTTTATATATTAGACATCATTGTTCTTAAAGCTTACTGGGTAAGGCGAACAAAGTATACGGTAAGTCATGTAATTTATGGATCTATTATTTTAATTTCTATGTCTCTCATTATCAGAAAGGTGGTTTGTTTAAGTCATGTATTAATTCATATACATCAAAGCCCCGTCTTTCATATTGTTAACTGCCATCATTCATTATTTTGTATTTAGTTAGTGTTTGATCATGTTTTTATAATGCTCACTTTTTTCAAGTTGTGTATTTAACTCATTGCTTTTTGGTCTGTGTAATTGTTTGCGAGTCACACTAAATGTAAAGGACGAGTAGATACTTGGTTGTCCAAACCGACATAGGTGTTGCAGGATGTAAGCCTGTTGCTTTAACAACTGGGCTATCGGTTTATTTTCATTTACTTCTAATTTAAATTCGATAAGTGTAATAGTTTCTCACAGTTCGCTGTATAATATCACATCAAATAAAAATGAAGTTCAGTAAATTTATTCACTAAAATCTCCTTTTTCCTACATTTCTTTTATCGGTCATCTTTCACTAGCATCAATCCTCCACACAAGTTAATTCTTCATCTGTAAACGTATATCCTTATCTCACGGATGTTCATAACAATCAACATGCTTTGAAAAATAATCCATTAGTGATACCAAAGAATCAATATCAGTTAAATGGTTTTAATTACGAGCTTGTTGATGAAGATGGTGATGATGTTGAACAAAGGGAACAAGATACCGATGCTGATTCCCCAGCTTACACAGATTTAAGTCAAGTTTCTCCGGTATCTCAACCTGTTGATTCAGGTTAGTTTTGATATTCAGATTGTTTTGTAGCCCGTTTTTTTGTGATATGTTTTATTTATTACACTCTGTACGACTATTCAAAACAATTAATTCTAGTATACTTTCGTGATAAATTTGGAATTTATGTATACGATTTCATTGGCTTGTGTTTGCTGAGATTTGTATTATAGATTTCCTGTTTAATAAAATATATGATAGACTTGTTGATTTCACACTGTACGAACACTCGGAGATGTATCACTGCAAAGTTGAGTAACGTCTTTATTTCTCTAAAAGGTCCTGAAAAGTAGTCTGTTGAGTACAGTTTTTCGTACTTCGATTTTAATCGTGCTTTTCACTAGTGGTATAAATAATAATAATACTACGCGACCGTTGTAATTGAAATATGTAACTAAAGAATATGCTGATGACATAGTTTTATTTGATGAAGACGCTGACAAAATGCAGAGTCTTCTGACCACTCTAAGCAACAATGCAAGCATGTTCGGGGTGCGATTCTTCCCCTCGAAATGCAAAATGTTGCTTCAGGATTGGGTTGCATTGACACCCGAACTAATGATAGAGAGTGAAGTAATTAAACGTGCCGATCGCTTCACTTATCTTGGAAGTCTCATCAGCTCTTGCGGTCTGGTTTGTGACGAAATCTCAGCACGGATACAGAAGGCTCGACTAGCTTTTGCCAACTTGCGTCATTTATGGCGTAGGCGAGATATTCGTCTATCAACCAAAGGACGGGTTTGCTGTACAGAAGTTCGTCCCGTCCTACTTTATGGCAGTGAAACATGGCCGGTAAGAGTAGAGGATATTCGTAGGTTACTAGTATTTGATCATAGGTGTCTTCGAAACATTGCTTGTATATCCTGGGTCCATCGAGTAAGTAACGCAGTTGTTAGGAAATGGGTACTAGATAAGGATGGCAAATCAATTGATGAAGTAGTGAAACTTCATCAGTTGAGATGGCTGGGACACGTGTTACGTATGCCCAACGACCGACTGCCTCGACGTGCGATGTTCAGTGGTATAGGAGTAGGTTGGAAGAAAGCTAGAGGTGGCCAAACCAAAACATGGCACAAATCCATGAAGTCACTGACAAGTGTACTGAGCCATGTTGGTAGGTGTAGACTACCTGGTTGTGATCCGCGAGATGATAGCAACCGATGGTTAGAGACCTTGAATGAAATAGATCAAAATCGTTTGCAATGGCGCAGGTGCATACACTCTTTGTGTTCTCCCAAATTCTAATCTTCTGAATTCTTCATGTCCTTCAATTTGTTTCCAAATTGATTTCACTGTATTATACTCCTTGAATAACATCTTCAAGCCCTAATGTGTTCCGATTACTGCTTATACTCTTACTACCTCTACCACTAAGGAATTTGAGTTGACAACTGCATCTTTATGCTAATGTGTTGTGACGACTCGACCTGATTTACGTACGTACGAATTTCCACGTTGTTACTGACTGATGTAACTAAAGGCGGTTTCTAATATGTCACCTTTCTTAGGCTTATGTTTATTTTTACGTCATATATATTATGTAATGATGCTCCAATAATTTCATTAGTTGCTGAACAATCATCGAACTCTATTTTTTAATGATCCTGGTTACTGTATGTTATAATATGATTCTTTTTGTTTAACACTTCATTTCTTTTTGGTATAAATGTTCTGAATGGAACTGTGTTTTGGAGAAGTTTTAAAGTTTCCATAATGTTGAGCAATACGTTTTGGTTTGTCATAGTGATAGACAAAATACTGACTGATAGTAGGTGATGTACAACAAGATGATGTTTTAGATATGTCATAGAGCTGGTCACTACACTCTACTACAATAGAAGTAAACATCCAAACGAGGTATAGTGAATAGATAGCACAACTAATCAGTAGGTTAGGTTGATTTCCTAATGAAGTGTAATCTTTTTTATGGATAATATTTAGCATAAAAGTAGACATGATTAATGGGTGTATGAAATATAACTGGTTTGTATGGTGAATAATTGAAATGCAAACTTAATTATTGAGTTTAGTTCTCGGTTGTTATATTAATGCATTGTAAGACAATAAGTTGAAGACAATAAGTTTCTGATTCTGTTTTTTCTTTAGACTTTTTGATTGTTAACTTTTAATCAGATTCCGTTTTTGTCAATGATAAATACTGTAAATCATCAACATTTTCAACTTTGATCATCTAATCAATAATATTGAGTATTCAGGTCATTAAGTCACACATCTAGGCTTTTGATATCATACAAACATTTATGTATATGTTATCATTGTTTACACTGCCAAATTTCTGACGATTAATAGTCATTATTACGATTATATCAAGAGTTGTGACGTATTGAATGTCTATAATCAACTTGGTGTGTGTATATGTAACTATAACAACAGTAATGATAATAATTTACATTGTTGGTGTTGATAATATGCTTAAGGTGATTATATATGAATGCATGCATATTTCACACTGTTTATTTTGTGAATATGTATAGTATATAAGAAAATTCTCATTATTCGTCTGTTCAATGTAAAAAGTGGTTTGTTTACATTGACTACCAAACAAGATAACAGTTTAAATATAGATATATACTCATGAAATCGTTGTTGGAAATGATGCCATCATTGTTTGTAACCAATTTACATTCGAAAGAAACTAAGTAGGCCTTATCTAATTATCATTGTGTATTTATTAGTTTATATTTTGCATGTGTTTTTATAGTTTTGTTCTTCGCAGTTGGTATGTCATCTCATTGAAGTCATCATATCTTTTTTTCTATTTCATTATGTTTTGTATGGTAAAGGCTGTTTAGCTAATCTGTACGGTTGAATTATTTATTTTTGTGTAATACAGTAACCAAGTACTAATTTATTGTTTTTCGGTTCTCATGAACACTTTTCATATCAAAATGGATGAAATTACTAATACTTTAAACAAACTATTATGATCAGATAGTGTAACCAAAGTGGTTCGGTTAATGGTTTCAAATAGGGCCCTACAATTAATTAGATTACACTAAGAGATAAACCAAATCAAATTCGATGGTAAATGATGTTCAAACTGAATGTTTGAGATTCCAGTCTTTCTATTATCAACACAGATTTTCACTATTAAGTTATTTACAATTGTTTAAAATGATCTTTATAGATAATTTTCAATGTTAGCGAAGAATAAAAATCTCGAATCAAAGCTTCAAGCTATATGTTTCTTTATTCTGTACTCATTTTTCTACATTATATTTAATGTCGTTATCATATTAAATTTGGATGTTAATGGATTGGTATCTTAATATCTAAAGCATTCGGTTTTTAACCTACAAGTTTCAAGTTTGAAACCTACTTTGGTTCGAACATCTAGATAGTTTGCGTCATTAAGTCCCATACCAATAATGTGGTTTAAAGTTGAATGTATTAGCATGTACTTGATGGATCAGTTAAGTCAATGGTCTTGAATGCTGTTTGAGGTATGAGGGCGGTTATCACTTCCCGGTTGGCCACACCGTGGAAGGGTTCTTCTGGAGGTACCTGAAAAGGAAATTGGATTAAAGGTGGTAATAGTGACATGAGAGTGTGACAGTAGTGCCAAAGGGACAACTGTTTGAGATTGGTCACACACGACGTTTTGTGGGTAGTTCTCGTGTCAGCTCCGTACTTGTTGAGACCCTACCTCTAGAGACGGATTTTAGTGTATATATTCGAATAGGCTTGGGCCATGAATGTATTTTTTTGTACTGAATTATCATTCATTACTTGGTGATTTCTAATATTTTAACGTGTGTGTTACTACTGATTGCAATATGGTATTTCTTTGCCTTAATGGGTTCGTTTTTTTCTACAGGATGCCAGAATACTAAGCTAACAATAAATAATTTGCAAACTAACACATCACATAATGGTCAATCGATGCTTCAAAATCACTCACAATCTGTCGGGTTTATGCCATCAGTCTCGAAGAATTTAAGGAGTAGTTCCCCCTTATCTTCTGGTATTTATTATTATTATTATATCTTGTTTATGTTTTGCTTTAAAATTTCTGTGCATTTTGTTCATTTCTTTTCATTGATTTTTAGTTTGTTTTTCCAGTGATTACATACTATCAATTGTATCATTCTGTTATTCAGTTCTATTTGAGTTCACTTGTTCATTTGTTACTCTGATTTTTAAGATAAATAATCTTACTATGATACTAGGTTGATGGAATTTACTGGGTTAGGGAATCAGCTTTGTAATATTGTTGTTTTGATAACCTTAACCTCCCGATGAGAAGTTCATATTTTTTCTGATAATATCTCATTGAGTTTCTGGGTTCAACGCTTGATGATGAGCGTACTAATATCTTCAGGGCGACAGATTTTTACGATTTCAGATGTATCCATTCGTTAATAATCTGATCCATGGCGTAAATAGGTACATCAACTGAGAAAAGTTAAGGGTATCCAAAAAAGCCACAAATAAGTAAATGAAACATTCGGTAAGAAATCTCAACTATATGTAAGTGACATTCATGTCACATTTTTATCTAGTCGAGCGTATTTTACTGATCTAACTCTATGCTGTCCTAGTACAGGAGATAGTAATAATCACCCTTAATGGGTTTTCAGCCACAATTTTCATTGTGAGAGCTGCTAATATAATCTAAATACTCAAAATTAAGTAAAGATTTGTTTTAGCGTGTAACTTCAATGGTTGAGAACCACTGTCTTCATCATTAATTTACTACATGCTATATTTATATAGTCGTGCATTTTTCCTGATTGTGTTCAAAACGATCATTAAAGCTTCGCAATCATAAGCCAACTTAACTGTTAGAAAATATAGAACACCAACTTAATGCTTTATATAGTATCCTAATCTTAATGACAGTGTAGATTTATAGCTCTATCAAAAATCTATGTTTATACACTGTATTCCTTATGAAATAATAATAATAATAATAAAGCCCTCTTAATTAAGTAATATGATCGATTCACATACAACACACATCAAACAAACAATTCAATCTACTGTAATGCACTAATGTATTATTATCATTATTACATTTTTAAGAAAATATGTCATCTGTTTTAACTGTCATTTCTGTATCCATATATCATTGGAAATGATTATCAAGACGTTTTCATAGAAAAGAATAATCCTCTTTGTTGCTATAGGTGTATATATCTATCTATTGATGAATTGAATGAAATGAAATACAATTTTGTATTATAGATTGATAAATATCATTTTTATTTCATAATCATCTAATCTTACATCTTTTTTTACAGAAAGGGGGGGGTACAAAAATGTATTTCTAATAAATTATTTATTTATTAAGCTTAGCAACTTAACATTAACACATTACTACTTGTATTTGCACGGTAGTTATCATGAATATCCAATCACTTAACAATATTAAAATTTGTGATATAGAAGATTCGTTAAAATGACTTATGTTGTGGTTCACATATACTGAGATTTTAAATAACTAATCGTTAAAAGTGAAGAATGTGTAGATGTAGCTTCGGTGTATCTGATGAGTTCATCATTTTACTTAACTGCTAGAGGTTAATTATCATAAACTGATTCTAATAACAATAATTTATTCATTTGTTTGAAATAAAAGATCTACCATGATTCCCTCAAATTCTTTGTAGAATGTTGGTAAGATGTTGATATAATCTAATACAGGGATTATATTTAACATTCGTTAATTTGTCTAAATGAATTACGTAAAATACATTTTAAATGAGGATTATAGTAGTCGTGTGAAATTTAACTATTATTTCTTTTAGATTTAGTTTATAATATTCTCAATTCTATTATTATTTTAGCATTTCGATTCAATGGTTCCAGTTCTAGACTTTCTGACCCAATACCATCTTCTTGGAGTTTCGGTAACATCATTATATCTTTAGTCTCTTTATGCAACATGTATATCCTATGGCTTAATTAATGCATGATTGAATTTAATCTACGTGTTTCATCGACGTATATTTACTAAACCTTGTATAGCAATGTTGTTTGTCTCTTTAACAGGAACTTGAAACCCTCATTAAGTGATATCCATATTCTTCTTCATTTTTACAAACAATCCATTTTTCTTTCATTCAAACTGTTTATCTCTTTATTGTCTTTGTTGTTTTGTTTGTTATTACCATATTCATTTAAGGCTTTGGTTAAAAAAGCATGATCAAGTATGTTTTATTCTAATTTACATGTTATTAATAATTGTGTGTATTTTGTTTTATTTTAATTAGATCCTAATCGATTAAAAGAATTACATCTACGTAATCGATTACAACCTTCACATTTACGATCAAGTTATCCAGTTGAAACTCAGGTTAGTTGGGTTTTTTCTTTCTCTCGTTAGTTCCTCACTGTTAAAATTACAATGTTTATATTGATAAAATATAATACAAGTGCGGATGGTGAAGTTGAATTTAGTTGTAAATCATTGCAATACATTACTTACGCCTGTTACTCCTCGTGAAGAAGCATAGGCTGCTCACCAGCATTCTGCATCGAACCCTGTCCTAACCAATCCTTTCCAGCTCTCTCCAGTCATTATTCATGCATTTCATATCGGCTTCGATTTCCCGACGTAATGTGTTCTTTGGCCTTCCTGTTTTCCGCTTCCCTTCAGGATTTCAAGTTTGAGCTTGTCTCGTGATGCAGTTTGATGATTTGCGTAATTTATGTCCTATCCATTCCCATCGTCTTTTCCTAATTTCTTCTTCAACTGGAAGTTGGTTTGTTCTCTCCTAGAGAAGGCTGTTGCTGATGGTATCCGGCCAATGGATGTTGAGTATCTTGCGTAGACAATTATTTATAAATATTTGTACCTTCTTGATGGTAGTTGAAGGTACAAGTATTGCAATACATTGGTTACATTAATATCAATTTTATTAAAATGGGAAACATTGGTAATCTCTCTGATGTTATACAATACGGCTTTTAGATACTCTACCTTAAGTTTCACACATTTCCTCTGACAGAATAACCTAAACTAAAGTTAGGGATTATTGCCTATTAAGTTAAAGCTGAATTCTTCAACAAATGATGTACTTTTTAAATTCTGTTTCAACCTAAAGTCTTCGCAACACAAACTATTTAAACATCATTAATGTTTAAAATTTTTAATGCTATCGATACTACTATTATTCCTACTCCCTTTCTATGTATCTTGTAAGTTTCACTTAACAGTGGTTATTTGATCAAGCGGGTTTTAATCTTGAATGAAGTCGACTTCTCTTAGCTTTAAGTGATTCGCTTCAGCCTCAATGCGAATGAACGATCCAAGTTCCTCCTTTTACTGACTATGATAGTTGGCTTTATTTCACTTTTATCTTTCAGTTATACATCCTGTTCCCATGCAGTTTTTAATTGTAAACACTTCTAATTACTGGGCAATTCATACAAACTACGTTTTCCAATTTTATAATGTATTGAATTGAAATGTTCTATATCTAATCAACCTGCCAATAAATCTACCTATATATACATACATAAAACAGATTGCTCGTACTGACATGATACCGTCTAACAAACAATGTCTCACACCCTATCAATCAAGCTGCAATAAACCCACTAGCATGAATAACTCGTAACGCGTGCACTATGCTTTGATGTTAGGTGGTTATTGGTAGTCTCTAGGGTACTCCTGGACTTACATTTTGTGCTAGTTGGTCCTCATCATCAAGGCGTACCTGAAATCTTAATGGGACTGATATTCCCTGCGTGATATAAACTCTGGTAACCCAGCTTCATAATCCGAAACGTTACCACTGAGCTAACTGAGATTTAACTAACTTATAGGACTTAGATCACTGTGTACTAACCACATATTTAAAATGACTTAGAACTGTTGGCACTGTTCTCTAGTTGAATAATATGTGGTGATCAGTTTAAAACACAACACTAACTAAGCCAAACCACATTATCGTGCTACTTACCTTCGTGATCTATAATACTCGATAAACACTAAAGATTTTACAACCAACTCTTTTGTGTATATTGTTTTATGCCCATAATTATAGAATTCCGATTTTCACTCCCTTATTACAGGTGATCAATTCAAATGATATAGTTGGCACTTTGAGCCAAATGACTACCGATAACGTGAATCAATCACCTAATCGAATCAAAGCGAGTGGTCGAAAAATGCATCGTAATAATTGTCACAATAAAGAACCTCCTGTAAACAATGTTGGTAGCAATCCCACTTCTAGAACTGTTCCCTCTTCATTATCAAATGACCACCAAAAGAATTTGCATATCAAATCTAGGCAAGATAATAATTTTGAACTAGAATCAACTCCTTCACCATTAGCCGCCGGTTATCAACCCCTTCCTAAAGATATACAATCGTTTAGTGAAGCACTTATCTCTGCATCCGTGGACAGTAAAGCTTTGGATTATGTATTAACTACACATCCTAATCTTATCAAGTCTGCCAATACTAATAACGATAACAATAATAATAACAGTAATGGCTGTAAATCATCACACTCGTTGTCTTCCAGTATCCAGAATGTAAATATCCCAACTTCGGATCGAAAACCTGTGAGTATATACTTTTTCTTTATGTCTTTGCATGAGTTTTTGGTACCTGAACATCCCCTAGTTCCAATGTCTCAAACAATTATATTACAAAGGTCACTAGATTGCGGGCTATAAAATCTTATCTTTGAGTTGTTATATGACTTATTTATTTTATTTATTTGAACACATAAATATTGGTAAAAGGCGGCACCATATATATATAACTTAAAATATCGTCATTTTGAGTCCTACAACTGAGGTATATATCTTACACATGCTCAGCCACATAGTAAAGCCGAAAGATAGCACCAGTCCATAAAGTCAGTGACTGTTAGTGTGATCAATGCAGGGTGATTCGAATTTCCTGGGTGGAGGCTCTTAAGTGATATTGTAGTAAATGAACATTCAACATTCAGATGAGGGAAACCGATTTATGGTTTGATGCACAATCACACAGTGGTTTAGCGAAACGTGAAAATCGTACATCATTTACACATCTTTTTTTAATTGTCTCAAAAAAAACTTTCTTGTTCCTTCATTCCTTTTGTTTTGATTGCTTTCAATTTCCTTCTCTGTTTTCATTTCGATTTTCTCAACTTTCCGTTCGCAGAAATTCCACTTCTGACTGGTCGTCTTACACACTACTGATATGTGCAAACATGAGTAGCGTATATCTCAATATAACTTGTAATTGGCTATCATCATATACATCGGTCCAGATCGCCACACCTCATTAGCCCAATAAGATAAACACCGAATTCATAAAAGTAGTTAATTCGATGGTGGTAATATATAAAAGAAAGATTGCATATATAGATATAATACAGGAAGGAAGAATTAGTTGATAGAAAGAAAGGTATAAAGCGATTTTAATCTCACGGTTTAAGGTAAGACAAAGAGTGTATACACCTACGTCATTGTGATTGTTTCTGAAACATGTCATTCAGTGAGTTTTCAAAAAGGTATTTCGATAAGCTTCATCTACGGTGCTATATTAACATAATTTGGCCGTTTGTAAGTCATATAAATTATAAAACTTGAATATATGTAATGCTCTCACCCATTGTAGTCGTGAAACTCTGGGAACGTTTTCATGTGAACCATTTGCAATTATGCTTTGGTTTATTTGATATTTAGTTATATATAACTGTAACATTTTCAATCTTTCTCGTTAAGGTCCGAAATCTAGTCCTAAATTACGGTTATTGACCTTTAGTGAAACATCTCGAAATAAATGATAATGAAATAATAACATTTCTCAAATCTCTCAAATCTTGGATTTCAATATTATTTTATACTTTTCATTTGTTTGTTTTAAATGTCTTTTCTTCTATATCATTTTTTTCTATTTTGTCAATTCACTCTCACTATGCTGATGTTGATTCTTGATCTGAATATTACTAACTAGACGGTTTCACAATATGTGTTTGATATTCCAAAGATATTCATCTGTTTAGTGTCTGATTCATAAAACAATCTAATCTTAATTCTTTATTTTGTTGAAGGTAGTTCTGTGATTGGTGTTAATTCCTGATGATGAAATCAACCTATGGATTAATCAACTTACAAAATTCATTATATTTTTAATAATTTAAACTTATTATTTTGTATTTTCTTATGTGTTTTGTCTTGTTTTCTTTTAAATCAAAATAAGGGATTCTGTAATAGTGTTCCTGATACATTTGCAAAACATCACAAAAATCGTTCAAGATATAACGTGCATGAACTAAAAATCGACAATGGTACTGGCGGTGGTTTATCCTCTGATAATGAAAATATGAATCCTCCTTTATTAAATATTGCCTGCCGCAGATTCACTGACGCAGATCTGTTCGTTAAACCATTAGATCCTGTTCGTGTTCATCGTCATAAAAGTAAAAAATTCGATACATATTCTACTCCACGTACTAATGGTATTTCACCAACTAGTTCTGTACAAAGTGTTGATGATCTTAGTGGTGCGTCAAGTATTCGAAGTAGTAAGGTTAGTATTGTTGCAATTTTATTTTAATTCATACTTTAAGATAATGTATTTATTTATGCTTCAACAAAGTTTAGGAATTTGATTTCACCATTCCACTTAGTTTGAGAAATAGATTAGTATTTTTAGCTCTTATCTAACAGATGCCGCTCATTGTATCAAAAGACATCAATGTCAGGCTCAATATCGCCTAATTTATGTTACTTTTAGCTAGGTAAAAAGACAAGTAATTAACTGTTGTTTTGATCAGTCGCTGCTTCAACTAAACATAACTATCGTGTGCACGATTGTGCAATAAGTTGTATGAGGGTTAGCCATGCATCTCAACTTCCCAATCCTCATTAAACAATAACCGGAGTCCTCATTTGACCTACACCGACGTAGCTACATATCTTGGCACGGATTCAGAAGGCTAAATTGAATTTTGCCAATTTGCGTCACTTGTGATGTAGGCAAGATAACCGTCTGCGAACCAGTGAACAAGTTTACTGCGCAGCAATTCTCCACGTCCTAATTTTTGGGTGTGAAACATAACCATTAAGAATAGAGGATGCTCGTAAGTTACTACTGTTCGGTCATAGGTGTCTTCGAACTATTGCTTGTGTATTTTGGACCACTGAGTAAGCAGTGTCTGTGTTAGGAATAAGGTGCCTAGTAAGGATGGGCGACCAACTGATGAGGTAGTAAATCTTCATCAACTGAGGTGATGGGGATGTGTTATGTGTACCCAACCACTGCCTATCTCGACGGGCGATGTTTTCTAGTGTAGAAATAGGCTGAAAGAAACTAGGGTTTGCCAAACGATGAAACAGCATCAGTCCATGAAATCATCAACAAGCCATATTTAATAGATACAGACTACCTGGCTGGGGGTCCGTATGATTCTCGTAACCAATGGTCAGATAGGTTGAATGGCACGGCCTGAAATTGTTTGCAATTGCACAGGTGAATCTCTTCTCCTTCGAATTCTGGGCTGAATCCCTCATAACATGTTCGTGTTTTTACCCTAATAATTTGTACTTTTTAAAGATTTATCTTCGATGCCGTCTTTTCTATTATCGCTGATACTGCTGCTGCCTCCGAAATTTAACCTGAAAATTTCATCTCTGTATGCTATTGAGGTATAGCAACTTGAAATGATGTACATACATACTAGGTTCTACGTTATAACTAACTGATTAAATCACTATGAACTATTATACTAGCTGTCTAGAGGGTTTTTGGTATAAACATGTTGTATGCCATTACTATATGTGTCTGACTTGCTCGTAAAGTGAATTATAAATGGGTTATGAACTTAATGAAGAGAATTTCATTTCGTTGTTATACAATTCTTTGTTTGACTCACTTTCATGAATGGTATTAGAGTTCTGATAGTTCCTGAATACATAAACAATTAGGTAGCTTCTTAAGAAATCATCTTTCGTTACTTCAACCTAAATGTTTAATTTTCAAGTTAGTGAAGCGATGTCACTAGATGTTGTAACCTCGTAGTTGTCAATGTTCGTACTCCATTCTTTTCGACCTGATTTTATGTCGTGTCTGTACTACTTTTTTTGAATCAAACTATTTTGGTTCTCCTGTGCATTTATTTATTTAAATACATAAACACTGATACAAGGAGATACTAAACGGATATGCGCCACATAAATCGTTCGATTTATGTGAAGGCTGGGATACTGCCTGGGTGCCCAAACCGAAACATCTGGTTATCTTAGGAGGCCACACCCGGAGCCTTTGACCTAAAGGTCTAATCCGCAAGGCAGTGGAGAAACATCAGGAGATGCAGTCCCGTGGTAGCCTGTGACTAACATAGGTTCATACATCATTTATTCCCTCATGATACTGGAGCTCATGTCCACCATTGGTTTGGATCCTCTGTATCTTGTATATTCATCATTAGCGTGATTTATTTACCAAACACCTATATTCGTCATTTCACTTATATTTTAATATACTCTCTCTCTACATTAAGGTATAGGTTATAATTGTATATTTCAAGATAAGAAACAAAGTTTTATCCCCCCCCCATCTCCAACGTTTCATTAATATTGATATTTTCTCAATTAGATTGTATGTATTTTTGTTGGTTATTTTTATTTGTTTTTTTGTTGTTGTTGGCTAACTTACTACACTATTGTGTTATATATATGAACATTCAAAACTATGTAACCTACATTAAAAAAAAAGTTTTTTCATTCATATAAATTGTATCTTTTATCATATTTATTATGATTGTTTTCTTTTCAAAAAAAAAGAGAAAGAAATATAAAATTAGTAATTGTAATCTGCACTTACTCCTTTCTCTATATCATCTATATATATAAATGTATGTATGATATTGGGATAGTAAATATGTGTATATCTTACTACTACTACTACTTACTACACTGGACAAGATCAAAGAAAGGAAGAACACGAAGACAGCAATTAACAACAGCTGAACACGAGCAGAGAAAGTCCAAGTATAAGCTGAATACACAGAAGCAAACAAGCAAATGAAGAAGAGCATTAGAGCCGACAAGAAGAAATACATGGAAGAGCTAGCAAAGACGGCGGAAAAAGCTGCTAGAGAAGAAAATATGAAACAGCTTTACGATACAACGAAGAAACTATCAGGGAAATACAGTAAACTAGAGAGACTGGTCAAAGACAAAGAAGGCAAGCCAATCACTGAAATTCAACAACAGCAGAATAGATGGGTACAATACTTCGAGGAACTTACTATTCGATGATTGACAACTTAACTGATTGAAACAAACGAATGAATTGAAGTTTCTTATTTTTTTACAATTTGACATTTTAAAAAAAACTATAAAGAGAATATTCTTCTTTTTCATAATTATTTCACTAATCTTTGATGATAATCATTTTTTTCTTCTTATAGTTTGATCTCAAATCTGAAATCAATTATCAATATAAAGTTTAATAGTCTAAGTTATTTTATCATAAATGAACTTACTTAGTTACGTAATTACGACTGTTACTCCTAATGGAGTATAGACCGCCGACTAGTGTTCTCCAACGCACTCTGCTCTAGGTGTTCCTTTTTAGTTCTATCCAATTATTATTCATTCTTTTCATGTCTGTCTGCATTTCTCGGCGTAATGTGTTCTTTGGTCTTTTCCTCTTTTTATTTGGTCTTGAGGATTTCAAGTAAGGACTTGTCTTGTGACACAGTTAAGTACTCCCCTCAATGTATGTGTTCTATCTACATAAATGAATATAACAAGTAGAAAATTATTCGAAATCATAATGCTATCCATAATAATCTCATAAAAAAAGTTCATATGAAAGTATATTGAAACTTAAGATCTAAAGGGACATTATTGGGATTGATTTTTACATCATTTTTATCTAAATGGTCTATATTTCATTAAATATCTCGAATCACACATCAATTCAACATTTTCAAGGTGTTACTGTCTTTTTTTTTGTTTTATACAGATAGTATCACTCACTCCAAATCTATAGATTTATACATTTATTCTTATAGAGATTTCATTCATCTTGTTTAACTTAGTTATTCGTCTAAAACCACACCTCATGAGGATCATATTCATAATCATCTTAGTTATTGTAAAACTAGTTGTGGTAATTATAGAGTACATATCCTAAGCTTTCTTTACACTTGTTACCAGTCTAATTTAATTTTTTCCACCCAGATACAAAACTACAAATGACGTAATCACTGAAATCAGTTTTCAATTTCATGTGTTCTATGAGGTCTTTTTTTATTCTTTAGTAGAAAAAATAAAATTTTACAATATATTAACCATTTATGATTATTTATGAAATGATTAGTGTTAATTTTTATCTAACAAAATACCCTGAAAAACATGGAAATATTTGATAATCAATATTTTTTAATTCGTCGTTTGCGTGTAATCAAATCTTAGAATATCGATTTCTCAATAGGTTCATTGAACATATCTCGTTTGAGGGGATTCAGTCAGTCAGTCAGCTACAACGCAGTACTAGGCACATATATACGTCGGTTCAAGTTGTATTACCTCATTACCACAACAAGATGAACACCAAATTCATATAAATAGTTAATTTAATGGTAGTAATATATAAAAGGAAAACTGCATATAAGGATATGATACAGGAAGAATGAATTAGTTGGTAGAAAGGAAAGTATAAAGTAATTTTAATCTCATAATTTAAGAGAAGACAAACAATGTATACACCTACGACATTGTGATCGATTCTGAGCCATGTCACACACAGTCTCCAATCATTCGTAACGATAGTCACGCAGATCCTAATCAATTAGTCTGCATCTACTAACATGGTTAACACTAAAAGTTAGTGACTTCAATAAATGATGTCATGTTTTGATTTGGCCACCCCTAACTTTCTTCCAACCATCTCCAACACTGGTCAACATTTTGCATCTTGGTAAATGGAGATATTTTACCTGTCTTGAATCATTGCCCATTTCAACGTTATTTTTCTTTTTTTATAATAAAAAACAGATGTTAAAATGTTTCAATATATATAGTGCATTCAAAATGTGGCATCAGTCTATGAAATTATCAAATGCAAATTATAAAAGCCTACTGATTCAGGTCACTGATTCTATTGATAATAACATTGTGTTGACATATTTCTATAAGTTAATGGAAAAGGGAAAAAACCCATTTCACTTCACTTCATTAATTTAAATGATGAAAAACAAAATAAAACATCCTTAGAGGGGTCATCTATCCATTTAATGTTAACAAAACAAACCTATAATATAATGTATTTGTTAAGAGGTTAAGTAATCTGTGACACCATTTTGACCTTTGAAGAAACTATTCATGAATTCACTTTCATTGTAGAAGAATCTCAAAATACTGGAAACAACACTAATACTGTACTTTACTCGTATTATTTTGTGTCAAAAATTCTCATTATTTACTCTTAGGGTATAAGAATTAACTATGGTAACTTTATGACAATTATTTATTTCAGAAGGAGGTTTTGTGGATATTATAGTAATTTTAATGGTTGAGATTTTGAGTCAATTGAAGCTAGACCACTATGGAAAACTTGGAACCTTCGACTGATAGGTCCTTGGTTCGAATCTCGCTAGGCAGAATCGTGGGTGTGCACTGCTGAGGAGTCCCACAATAGGACGAAACGGCTGTCCAGTGCTTCCAGGTTATCTATGGTGGTCTAGCTTCAATCAACTCATGATCTTAACCATTGAAATTACTATAATATCCACAAAACCCCTTCTGATATGAATCAACATATGGTCACTAATGACTGGCTTCAATTTATATTTCCTGGAGTTCAACGGGGTTTGTTGTGAGGTAGTAGCTCACTGAAAACAATGGTGAATGTGTCTCTCTATTTCGTGGAGTTAGATATTAACACCGTTGGATACCGGCCAGCTCAGTGGTCTAGTGGTTAAGCGCTTGCGCGTGAGACTGATAGGTGCTGTGTTGAAATCTTGTGAGACGAGATTGTGGATGTTCAATGCTGAGGAGTTGCACATTAAAACGAAATGGCCTTCAAATGCTTCTCAGTTTTCCATGGTTTTCTAGCTTCAATTGACTCATGTAATAGCTGAGAATTATTTTCTTCTTTTTAAATCTCAGTAACCATTTGACTTAACATATTTCTTCTACTTTTTTTTAAAAAAAATCACTTTTACACAGAGTTCAATCGCTTTTGAAATTAAAAATGATCAAAAAGTGAATGTACGACGTTTACCAGCTCCAACTTCACAATTATCCTCTCAATATCATAATAACAATAATGATAACATGAAATCACGAAAATTAGAACAATCAACTAGGAAATTAAATAATTTCAATTGTAAATCTGCATTTTCTTCATCTAAATTAACTACATCAATCAATAATACATCAACTCCATTAATTCCTCAATAATTTCTTATTATTAATTATGTACATTGATATTTCATGTAAGTGAATATTATCTTTTATCATATTGATGGTATATAAGAATCATTTAATGAGTAATCATTGGTTCTGCAAATATATTAATTTTTAAACTTGTTTAGTTCTTAACTTGACTATTTCACTGTTGTCACCATTTACGTCTGAATCCTTTTTCTTTTGTAAGGATTTTTTGCTGAAATACTATAATTTATGTTAGAAACAATAACAATGAGTATGGAATCATGATATGACATTAAACTGTTTAAGTTTTTTTTTCTCTCTACTGTGTAGTGAAATATTTTTCGTCATCTTTTATTTTTGCTTCTAATTAATCTCCTTTTGTACTGTGGTGTGTACTACTGATATCGACAAATATTAGTAGTATGTATCATTGTCGTGAACACGAACACCAGTGGGGACAATCGAATGTATTTAACACATAATTACAGCACTTGTTAATAAAATCCATCAATTGTCTCATAATGACTCAGACTTCATTGTTCTTGTATTTTCATGCAAATTGCATCCTGTTTCGATTCTTTACTGTTCGATCCTATTATCTGTCTACTGCCAGACATTCTGTTCTTGGCTAACATCATATATTACTTATGTGGATATAAGTAACATACACCACATCATTCGAAAGTGAAATACCTGGCAGGAGAAGTTCAAGATCAAATAAAAGAGAACAAGAACAGAGAGTGATTAGTGTGAGAACAAAAGAACAATGAAGTCTGAGATGGTTGATTGACATTTAGCAAATGAAGTATTTACTGTATAGTTCTCAGATTTTACTAAGTGATTATGTAATATTGTGCTCAAATAATAATAATAATAATTAGCATCAAGTATTTCATAATTGCTTCGTATATTAATAGTAACAGTAATACCTGGTTACATAGTAAACAAATCATATATTCTTATTATTTTTGTATTTAGATATTTTTTTGGGATCTGAATTGTTCACATTGAACCGCGAAACATAAACTGGACAAGTATCGTCATCAACTTCATCTAAGAAGCTAGTAATTTTCTCTTTCAATTTCCTCATTGGAATGCATTCCAGTGAATAGTCTTACATAACTCACACACACATCACACTATTTTATTGTTCCTATCTTTACTAAACCTTGATGGTACTTACTACAATCGACAATCTTGCTGATTTACTTTTCTTTTTTTCAGGTTTTTTGTATATTCGATTTCGCGCGTGTGTGTGTGTGTCTGTATTTACCTATTTTTGCGTCTTTATTCAATTGGTGTCGAATACTGTTGAATTTCTCATTTTGCCTTCTTTATCACCATTATCATCATTATCACTCTCATTCACATCTCTCTGTGTAATACTTTTATTAGTTTATTTTTTTATAGAATTTTTAAGGTGTACACAAAGAAAGTGTGTGTTGGGGGGGAGACCAAGAAAAAGAAACTTATTAGCTGATCCCGGTTCTTCATATTTTTGTTTCCCTTTTTTTTCTAAAAAAAACTAAAAATACTATTTTATTCTACTATTCAAAGTTGTATATTTTGTTGAATAATGAAGAAAAAAACAACCAAAAAATGATTTAAAGAAAAATATAGTTTTTACAATAAAATGATGTGATTTTCTTTCATTCAGCTGTCCAACAACAGCCAGTCAGTCAGTAACAGCGTACAACTTTGTAAGTACGTACGTATGTACATCAGTTCGAGTTGTCACAACACATTAGCACACAGAGATGCAGTTGCTTCGATTTGGGCACCCGGGCAGTATCACAGCCCACACACAAACGATGAACTCAATGTCTATGGCAACTACTTTTCTCGCTCCGATAAACAATCAATCGATTCAAATAATTATCATTACTATTATTGTCATTATTAATACCATTATTATTATTATTACCATTATTGTCATTATTATTATTATTATTATTTTCCACATTATTCACCCTCTTTTATACTTATACAGCGGCTCGTCTTTGGTGGAAATCCGACTGTATCTAAACGTTCTCGAGTCACTGTCCGGTTGAAAATTGTATGTTACCACCGAATACGAGAACTGAAGCAGTTTTTCTGAAACCACGTGCACCATTCAAACTGGCTGCCTTCAACGTTCGCACACTAGTGCAGGTCGGACAACAGATAGGGCTGGCTATGTCTTTGGAAAGTCTTAATATTGATGTCTGTTGTCTATCCGAGACCCGTATTCAAGACTCTGGCGAAGTACTACAAATTCGATCTCCATCTGTCGCTTCGAAAAGCTTGTTTTACGTGCGCTTATCCGGGGACCCTGTGGCATCTTCGTTTGGTCTTGCTGGCGTTGGTGTCGCACTAAGCGCAATTGCGTGACGCCATGAAAATGGCGGGAACAGTCAGTTGTGGGTTTGCGAAACGTCCCGCTTATAAGCACTGGGTTTCTTCTGGTTCCTTACAACTCATTGAAGCCCGTCGGTCTACTCCGGGTGACCGTGAGTTTGACCATAAACGAAGGATGTTACGTAAGGAAATTGGGCAAAGCTTGCGTAAGGACTGAGAAGCCTGGTGGTCGAAGCGTGCTAATGAGCGGGAAGCAGCAGCTGCATCTGGTAACTACCGGAAGCTCTTCCAGCTCATCCGAGCCACTGGCAGCAATAAGTCTGGTGTGAGTGAAACAATCTGCGAGGACGATGGGATGCCAATCACTAACATCCATCGACGTCTTGGACGATGCGCAGAATTCTTCGAAGGGCATTTCAACTGGCCTGCTGCTCCGGCAACATCGGTCAGACTGTCCTGCTCTCCATGGCCGGTGACGACTGATCCACCAAACGAGGAGGAAGTCCGCAAGGAACTCCAACTCTTGAAGCATTACAAATCACCTGGCCCAGATGACTTACCTCCGGCTCTTTTTAAAGATGGTGGTGACTTTTTGACTAAGGAATTGACGACGTTGTTTACAAAGGTTTGGGAATTAGAGAGTGTACCAACGTCATGGAATGAGTCGATAGTTGTCCCTATCTTTAAAAAGGGTTCACGTTGTTCCTGCAACAACTATCGGGGGATAAGTCTACTTCCGATTGCGTCCAAGCTATTGGCTTCCGTCATACTTCGTAGGTTGTTCAAAACCCGAGAAAGATTGACTCGCGAGGAGCAGGCTGGGTTTCGTTCTGGTCGAGGATGTATTGATCATATCTTCACCCTCCGCCAAATGTTAGAACATCGCCATACTTATCAAAGGCCAACAATCGTAGTGTTTCTTGACATCAGGGCTGCCTTCGATTCGTTGGACAGGACTGTTCTCTGGGATTTTCTGTTGAAGAAGGGTGTGGCTCGGAAGTTTATTAACATCCTAAAAGCCCTATATAAAAACACCTCAGGCAGAGTGAGGGCATACAACCACCTCTCTCCATTGTTCCATTCGAGTAGTGGGGTTAGGCTGGGTTGTCCAATCTCACCATTCCTCTTCAACTTTACCATCGATGACATTCTGGAAACAGCTCTGATGAATGTAAGTAATGGTGGTGTGGATCTGTTGCCTGGAGAAAGACTTCTCGACTTTGAGTATGCGGACGATATTGTCTTACTGTGCGATAATGCCCAAGCAATGCAATCCGCACTTAATCAGTTGGAAATCAGTGTCCGTAGGTATGGTATGTGCTTTGCACCTTCGAAGTGCAAAGTACTTCCACAAGACTGGCAGGATTCTAATCCTGCACTCACCCTGGATGGTGAGCAGATAGACGTAGTCGAGAAGTTCGTGTATCTGGGTAGCTGCATAAGTGCTGATGGGGGTGTGAGTGATGAGATCAATGCACGTATAGTGAAAGCCAGAGTGGCTTATGCCAATCTGGGCCATTTTTGGCGCCTTCGTGATGTCAGTCTGGATGTAAAAGGTCGGATCTACAACGCGTCGGTGAGAGCAGTTTTGCTCTATGCTTGTGAAACCTGGCCTCTCCGAGTTGAGGACGTCAGACGACTCTCTGTGTTCGACCATCGTTGTCTCCGAAGGATTGCTGACATCCAGTGGCAACACCAAGTTCGGCACTGTGTGTTCGGGTGCAGAGATGATAATTCAATTGGTGTCACCATCTTGAAACACCGACTTCGGTGGCTTGGACATGTTCTACGAATGTCGTCCCAGAGAATTCCACGTCGCGTATTATTTGCCGACTCTGGGACTGGTTGGAAAAAGCGGAGAGGTGGTCAGTGCATGACATGGTGTCGTGGGATGAAAGAAAGCTGCAAAGGACTGGCTTCTGTCGGTCCTTCACGACTCCCTGGTTGGGGTCTGAGAGATTGTGCTACACAGTGGCTAGAGACGATATCAGATATGGCTCAGAATAGAAGCCAGTGGCGATCCTGCTGTAACCTTGTTTTACTTTCTTCATAAACAGTGGTTGTGTCTCCCTTACCTGAAAGATTTCTTCTGATCGTACCTTTCCGTTCCATCGTTACGACCACACTACCTTACATCAATCTCTTTTTCTTTTGTGCTCCTTAGATTTTTTTTTCTATCTCTCTTCGAATTTTCATTGTTTTGTGTGGCGCATATATATTGGCGCTCTCTTGTACCAATATTTATGTGTTCAAATAAATAAACATCAGTTCGAGTTGTCACAACACATTAGCACACAGAGATGCAGTTGTCGATTCAAATCTCATAGTGATAGAGGTAGTAAAAGTATAAACAGTAATCAGAAAGATTAGGGTTTGAAGATGTTATTCACAGAGTATAATCCAACGAAATAAATTTGGAAAGGGAGAAAAAGGAGACAAGGAGGGTTCAAGAGATTAGAATTCGGAAGAACACAAAGAGTGTATGCACCTGCGCCATTGCAAACGATTTTGAGCCATATCATCCAGCAACATTTTTCAATAATAAAACATTGATAATAGAATAAAGTGTTGAAGAGTCGAATGATTAGTAATAGCTATAGCTATAACATAGTAATTATCTTTTGAAAGATGATAATAAATGTGAAGTACGATTTCGATATAAATAAGGGTATAATTACGTGTTTACAATTAATATACATTGATTGAAATTATTGTATTATGGATAATCTAGGTTAAATCAAATCAAATTAAGTTAATGAAGGGCTGAATTACAATTCTTAAAGATTCAGTTTCTATGTTAGTCAAATGATAAAATCTGGAAGGTGTTAGTGCTGATTACCACGACGTGCGATACTAACCGGTGTTGTGGATGGTTGGAAGAAATTTAGGGACGGCCAAACCAAAATATGACGTAAGTGCTTGAAGTCACTAACTTCTGGTCTGGGCCATGTTGGTAGATGCATACTACTTGGTTGGAGTCCGCTTGACTATCGTAACGAATAGTTGGAGACTCTGGGTGACATGGCTCAGGATCGATCACAATGGCGTAGGTGTATACATTATCTGTCTTCCCTTAAACTATGAGATAAAAATCGCTCCATATATTTCTTTTTACGTACTAAATCTTTCTTCCTGTACCATATCCTTATATGTAATCTTTCTTTTACATATTGCCACCATTAACTACTACTATGAATCCGGTGTTCATCTTGTTGTGTTAAAGAGGTATGGCAACTTGGACCGATGTATATATGTGCCTAGTCCTACGTTGTAGCTGACTGACTGGAAGGTGTTGGAAGTATGACATATCACAAGCTAATGAGAATTAATTAGCTTTATTATACAGTACATTCAAGAAGATCAACAGATGAATACATTTGTTTCATTGCAATTGATCTTACTAAAATGGACTTCATTAGTTGACGAACTTGATTCTGGCTTTCCAGAGCTTATTTATTGATCATGTAGGTAATATGCTCATTATAGACAGGTGTGGACTTGTATGTAATAGGAAACCTATATGTATATGTATGAATTACTTTTTTTAATATAGAATTAATTATTGACTTTCATCTGTTTCAAGTAACATAATCGTTTGTGCATGTTAACATGATTAATACAACTTAAAGGTCATTATGTAGGATTGTCAAGCTATTTCATTCTTTATTAAAGGAAGTGGTAACTTTCTATAACAATCAACTCTAGGTTATATCACTTTAACAATAAATATTGGTACAGAATAAAGAATATTAGAACGAACAGCTATGTTTACTGTATACATGTAATGTGATTCGTGTCGATGCAAAGAAACTTGAGATACATTCAACTTCTTTGTTTACCTTGGTTTTCAATATAAAGTTATCGAATTCGTAATGTAATTTCCATAATACAGTAAAACGCTACTTTTCTATTCTTTCAATCTAGTTTTTACACCAATAACATTTTTCTTATTCTTAATTATACATTTATCTTTCTTACTTTATATGATATTTTTATTAATAACAGATTTTATTATCATAATAACTATGATACAATAATTTCTATTTTTTGATTGAGAATATGAATCGATTGACGTTAGACCACCGTTGGAAACCTGGAGGCACTGGACGACCGTTTCGTCCTGTTGTGGGACTCCTCAGTAGTGCTCATATACAATCCCGCTCGTGGGATTCGAACTCAGTGACCAGTGGAGCCAATCCATGTCGGGTAGAAACAGGTATCTTAACTTGATGGCTTTATAAAGTACTTGATGATTAGACATTGGATATCACTTGATTATAAATCTTATATTAACTCATCATGTACAGATTTGTATACATCTCTTTGAGCCACATTCTAAATGTGAGTGCTAATGATAACAGTCGATTTCTCAAATCGCTATAAATGG